CGGCCCTAGCTTGAAGCTTTCGGGAGCGATGCATGCAAATTTTGATTATCTCGACCTAGATGGTCAAACAGATCGTCATCGACCTCTTATATGATAGCGTGAGTATCCAACTCGTCACAGGCGTTTGCGCGGAGGTGATTACTCAGTACTCCACTGCCAAGGCGTTGTATACGAAATTGCACTCGCCGATCAGTACACGGATAAGCAACATATCGCCACCATCTGCCCCAAGCGCTGAGTGCCCCAAAATTTGAACTGGTCTTATCGTTGTTCACACGAAACACCAGCAAACCAGTCCCGTCAATTGGCCAGTGAGTGGAGGCCAAGTATAGCCAAGCAAGCCAAGGCCAAGTCTGTGACATATGTGACAGTAAGTCACACTGTCTCTTGGAACTTGTTCATGATGCCGTCCACATGGCAAGAATGGCTTGCCCTCTTCTTCACTATTATCTTCCAGCTCTGTTCCGTCATGGCCCAGAACGACAGCAGTGGCTATGACCATGACCCTATTCTACAGTATAGACCCGCCTTCGTCGAGTCCTTACCAGTTCAGATCCTCTTGACTGGCGTGGTCCTCACGCTTGTCGTCGTTCTGCTTCTTCACCTGCTTTTTACCGCTCAGTATCACTGGCCCCTAGCTCGTGTCAATTATGCGCTACAGCTTACGGGGGTGATCACTTTGCTTACTTCCATCACCGCTACTATCTATGTCATATTCTCCTCCAACGTGCAGGAGAGCCAGCACTGGCCGTACATGTTGAGCTATCTGGCTGTGAACATGCCAAATCATGGCGTCAATACAACAGCGAATACTACTGATCCTACTGTGATATATGCACACCGATGGTCACTTGCCGAGAGTGCTACGTGGACCGTAATGAATGCCACTACATCTATGGTCATACAGGTCAGTGTAATCGAACGTAGTCCACTCTGATTGTACCGATTCTGTTATCTAGGTTACCCACATTCATTTTCTGACCTTGCTGTTTCCCTCAAATCTGGAGGCAAGACTCATTTTTGGCCTGCTTGGTGAGTGGGGCTGTAAAACCTGCATTTATGTTCCAAATGTATCCTGTGTTCCTTTGTCTTGAATAAAGATATGTTTCGTGATTTCGGATATTATACCATTCCTCGGAATTGGAATTTGGGGATATTCTTTTTATGTGGGCGTCAGTCATGGGCACTTTATGTTCTGTATTCCGCACTATTCCCGCAATACTGATTACAGCATTATGTTTGCTTCCTGCTTGTAATCAGGTCCGTTGGCAATCATCTCCGCTGTAATGCAACTGCTCCCGATCTTCTATGGGATGACCCCACTGCCACTCGCGGAGGACACCCGGAACGTGTGCAATGCAGCTTTGTCATTGCTGTTCACTTCTGCACTAATAATCTGGGGCTTTTTTGTTAACCGGGAGGCGGCATGGCGCACCGATGGCGGGACATCAGCCTTCGGTGTTGGCGCAATCGTTCTCGCTCTCATGTCGACCACGCTCAATTTCATCTACATACCGAGTCAAGACCAATATGGATGGATGCCAAAACTTATGTGGAGCGTGGTCATGTGGCAAAGTTTCCTTGGGTGGTGGTGGTGGGTTGGTTCTGGGATGGGCGTCGGCGAGGTAGAAGAGCTGCTGATGAAGGAGGAGAAACGTGAAAGAAAGAGGAAACTGAAAGCACAGAGGAGGAAGGAGCAACGGGAGAAGGCCAAGACCATGTGGAAGGGTGTCACCGGTGCATTCACAACGAAGCGCGATCACTTTGAGAGCCGAGATTCCGGCGAGGGGCACGAAGTGTTTGAAAATTCTGAACCGCTGAAGGCTCTCGCTTCTGGCAATGCCCTGCCGACTGCAGGTTCAATCACAAGTGGATCTTCAAGGAGCATGCTACCTCTACAATTTGTAAACAGATGGTATGCACGCTTGCGCCATGCACATCTTACTGCAGCGAGAGAACAAGCTGTCGAGCGCGTGGAGCGCATACACCAAGTGTTCGGCCGTGAAGAGACCCGAAATGCAATGCGGGAACCTGGTGCCCAAGTTACCGGATGGGGACTAGGTAGCTATGGACTACGGGGCGTAGAGCGGGATCGAAGGGAAGGACAAGAGCTACAGATTAGGACTGAAGAGGACGATGACAGAAGTGATCCAGGCAAAATCGCAGAACCAGAATTACTGCCGCAGGACCAGTTCTTTCGGCGGCGTGGCTACCAACCTGAACTCCAGCCCTCGCAACATGTTCCACCTGCGCCGGAGACGGACCTTGGATTTGGGTGGATATCATTCTGGTGGTGGGGACCTCTTCGGCGGTGGCGTTTACGGGACTCGACGGCTTACAGGTGAGGAGGGCAGTTTGGTGCGAGAGGATGTTAGAGATGCCGCATGATCCGATGCAACGTGTATTCCGTGCTTCTGATGTTTTGTATTGGCATTAATTTTCTTGGACCTCTACAGCTATACCGTTACAGCAGCCACATTTTAGGCTACAACAACTCACAGGCCATAAAAATCTCCCGTGGGCTATACCATCCCTTACTATTGTTCTAACATGCTTCATCAATACCTCGTGTACAATATCGACTTTCGGTAGAATATCTCGGCCCATAATAATTGTTTCTTTTTGGTCTCGCATCTTGTTGTATTGGTACTGATCGAAGCTGCCAGATTATCAGGATATCTCTGGAATTTAGGGTAAGCGGTGGATGAGCGGTAGTTACTGACACTACCAGTATTGAATATTGACCTTCCGAGAAGCAATAAATGAGCCGCTTGCACTTCGAGTTCGACACCATGGTTGAACACGCTCTTGCCACGTTTTCCCCAGAGACAGATAAAACTTGTGGTGCGCTATTCTTTTCTTAGATACACTCACACCGTTAATCAAAAGACATACATTCCACTGGCAGCGAGTACACGCTTTGTGCACAACACGTCGGAAGGCTTCAAAAGTCATAGTACCAAAGGATGTTGTTCCTCGCTTCTTAAAGCAGCACTCACTACCTAAGACAATATGCTCAAGATGACGGCTGTGGAGATCAGTGTCCAAGGTGTGTTTTTCATGGTGAATCAGAAGTAAAGACGTGTTGTTCGGTTCTAGACACGCGCTTGAATTGCTGTACATCATGTTAGCCACGAGCCTTGAGGACTTATCGGGGAAAACACCTTGGTATTTGACCTGTTTTGGTCTCCTCAAATGACATATTGATCAACGCAGATAAAGAGGATGCACATGGATATAAATTGCTGAGCAAATCGTACTTCAGTACTACAGACCGACCCACCACCTGTCATGGCTCGTCACACTAGGTCTCGCGGCTCCAGAAAGTGTGGGTTCTATCTACTGCAATTTACCGGACCATGATTAATAGTGTCTACGTGTTGGTAGCCTTATCCCAACGTCAAGGACCCCCTGTATTGGTAAGGCGGCCTTCGCAAGCCTCCATAGACAGCTTGTGCCACCCTCGGCTTCCTGTACGCTATCTCCATGCAGGGTTGAAAATGAACCCCCAGGTGTGCTGCAAGACACAAGTAAGCGTCCATTAAAACCTGAAGATATGTATTACAGCCTGATTGCTCCTCGAAGAGAATGATTAGAGAATTAGCTCTTCGTCACATCGATTTTTCGATACCGTATCTGGAGCAACCTCAGTCAAAATTAGATTTCTTCAAGAGAGAGGTAAGATATTTAGGCAGAGTGCAACTACTTGGGGTGTCTGAGGCTGAAACATAACATGTAGGTCCTACTTGATGCAGAGCTGTCGCACTTGATGCGCTATGAAGACGCGTGGGCAGTGGAAGTGTTCCTCGGCATGATGTACCGTCGCCCAAGAATTATGAGAAATCTCCAGGTAATTCAAAAACTACATGGTTTAACTACCAAATTGTTCTGATTTACGCCCAGCGACTAGACTCCGAGCTACAAGTTACACAGGTTCTGACTTCTCCCTACTCCACTGGCAATTATCTAACTCTTCCAGCCCGACCATCAGAGACAATCAAACGTTGACTCTATCGACCCGGCTACTCAGCCTGAAGATGTACAGGTCTCCTATTTCGCTGATAATCATACTCCGAGTCCGGCTAACACACATGATATAGGATGAATGTCCGAGTCAAGTGTCACTCACCGTTTTCTCTGGCAACCACAATACTCAGCCTGAGGATATACAGGTTCTTCGCTATTCCACTGACAATTATGTTCGGAGTCCGCCTAACACACACGATATAGCATGACCGTCCGCATCACATATCATTCGCCATTTTCTCTGACGATCGGGATACTCAGCCCGAAGATGTACAGGTTCCTTCCTATTCCACTGACAATTATGCTCCGAGAACGCTAACATACATGTGATAGCATGACCTTGTTTGTTCTGATTATCAGGCCACTCAGCCTAAGGATAATCAAGTGAACATGGTTCAAAACGGTGGTGCCTCAGACACCACGTCATGTCTGGCTCTGTTGTCAACCCTCCTGGCTTCAATGCCAGGCTTGCACCGTTTCCATGCGATACTCACCGAGGCTGGCTTGTCCACTGACGAGCATGTGCACCATTTCTTCCAGATGTCATCTACCGGGAGAGAGAGATTCATCACGCAAGCACTCAAGGAGACCTCTACCCTGTTCGAACGAGTTCTGATCATGGAGATTCTGGAAGAACTAAGAAGTGGCATCCTAGTTGGTAGTTTATAACACCACAGTGAACATGTTTAACATTTTTGTGGAGAAATTGACGGCTCGGGTCTGCGAGAAGTCACGTGATCTCCATCGGGTGGGCGCGCGCGCGTCGGTTGAGTTCGCGCCATCTGTTTTTCTCTCGCAAGTAAATGACGTGAATACGAATGGAATACATAATGAGTTTGGAAGTACAGCTGTTCTACTTACGCTATACGCTAAAAACTTGCACTAGAGGCAGGTCACTGGTACATGGTGTGATCACATTATTTATTTATGTGGGAATGGCCGGCGGTAGTAATACTACACACTGAATTGGTTCAGTCCAGTACTATCATATCCGACTGCTGCTGTACCAAGTACTTCAAGCTTCAAGTTTCAACTGCCGTGCTTGTCGACCCAGCAACTCACTTTATCAGACATGATATTCTATTCGTCACCGACAATGGTTCTCCTGTGTTTTCAGAGCGCTGCGAGTGGGCTTTGAAATTGGACTCTCACGAACTCCTACAGTATGCGAGACCTTGCGAGTATCAATTGATCAAGCTATGTATATTTCCAGGCTGTCTCGCCTGCAGCTCCAAAGCCACGCAAAGCACTACATAGCAATGCGTTGCATCCATCCTTCCCAACCCAGTTGCTGGTAACATCAAGCATGGAGGGCGTCCTACAGTGGTTGCGCGGGCCATGCAGCCAAGTCTCAAAAACTTCTACGGCTACTGCAGCAGCACACTGTCCGTCTGGCCTGCTTCATATTATTTCTCGCTGCATCCCTCTTTCTCTTGGTCGGGTTATCTTTACCAATTATCAAGCCAATCATGATCATCAAAATTTCAGCAATAAATTCTGTTGATCCCGTCTCGACTGCAATCACAGAACTGCAATTTGGAGTATGGGGTGTCTGTGCATTGAGGTAGAACGTTTACTTTGACCGAATTTCGCCAATGTTTCCTCATCTGTCACATTTCAGTATCCTTAACGGCGTCAAAGCACAAGAAGCATGCTATGGCCTACAGTTGGGATACACCGTTCCTACAAGCATTTTGTCTCTCGTTGGCTTCTCCTCCAAGCTCGCAAATGTTGCAAACACGACCCTCCTGACTATACTTGTGCTGCATCTCGTCAATGCAGCACTTTCGACCGTCGCCTTGGTGTTGTCTCTTTTACTTCGCTCACACTTAATCACAACAATCGGACTCATAGTCGCCACAATAGCAGCAGTTGTTTCGACTGCTGTTTTTGCTGCAAACGTTGCTCTGGTTGTCGGCGTCAAAAACAATGTCAACTCCCTTTTCCCTGGATGCGACTTCGCTGTAAGCTTTGGCAATGGCTTGTGGATGGTACTAGCGGCGGTGCTTTTGGCTTGGATAGCGGTTATCATGCTGTCAGCACAACGATGTTCTTGCCGTAGTGTGGGTCGACGGTAGGTTTACAGGAATTTCTGTGTGACGCCATGATTCTCATTTGTCGATTAGCCCAAAACCAAAGGCGCCCAGATCAGTTATATCTGAAAAGAACAGTATGGAGAAGGTCTTGTTCTAAAATGGACAATTCTGCCATGTCCGACAAGTTACGAATACAATGTGGATGACCGCGATAATAATTCTACCAATATTCTGTATATATCGATGATTATTGATCATAGCGGCATTTTAAACAGCATCTGTATAAACATCTCCTGTTGTGAGACTCCCAGTGTCGGTGATGTGTGAGCAGTAACACTACGATCTCTCGCCATGACCCACCACGCCTTTCCGAGATTAAATAATCTATTGATTCTCAACATCGTAAAGGAGAGAATGCTGCCGATTGGCAAAATCGAGTCGCCCACAAAATGCAAATAGAGCTCGATTTGAACGAAAAAGTGTGAAGCTTAAGACTAAAAGATCATAACTTTGGGACGGTCGCTAATTCATCTCCCCAAGCTTGATATTCAAAGCCTGGATCTGGAGAGCGCTCATCTTCCCCATCAATTCTCTCTCGAAAAAATCCTTTCTCACACCAGGAGCCCACGACCTCACAACAACCAGGTCCGCTTCGCTGCTGATCCCTAATTCCTCAAACGCGGGGAGGAAGTGGCTAAGGTCAGGGTTAACAGCCTTGAGAAAGTTCTCGACAGTGATGTCATCGTTATTCGCCGCATGAGGTTGTACAAAGTCGTGATCTTCATAAGGTGGAGGTGGACCACCGGGAGCAGGTGGCAAGCTCGCACCACGCTATCACGCAAAAGGATAAGCAGCGTTATTCATTAGCAGTATGGATATAGGTACTTTACCTCTGAGGCAGAACTCTTAACACGAACAGTTTTTTGGGCGGGCCTTAACCTCGTCATCTTGGCTCTGAAGGTGTGACGCTTGGCATAGGTTTTCTTGGATAAGTAATGTTCGATATAGAGCTCGACTGGCCATGCATCGGTGTACTTGGAAAGGAATGATGCCAATTCCTCGCGAGCCTGAGGAGGTGTTATATAGTCCATATAACTTGCTGGTAAAAAAAATAGCTTACCCAGTCTAAATATATGGCCCAGATGTCTGGGACTTGCTCGTGGAGAAACCTCTCACAATCAAGCATCATTACGGCTTGATCGCGCAGAATTTTCTGTTATCGAAGATCAGCGATGCACGATAATGCGCAATCATTATTTACCTTGAAGTCCTCGAAGATCGGCTGACTTACGTCCATTGCACGGATGATGTTTTCTTGGGGACCAGATACCAGCTTACGAAATTCCGTAGGCGTCGGTCGTGGTATGGTGCGATGGCCATCACCGGTAGCCGATTCGTTACCCTGATGTTGCGTCCTGTATGCACTGCCCAAGGGAGCGGGCTTCATTCCAGTGGAGACCACTTGCGAAGACCAGATCAGCAGGGGAGGGGAGAAAGAAGGAGAGTCACTCACTTGCTATCGATGACGAGTTCAAAGAAGGGTAGAAAGATTTATAATGGAAAGTTACCCATGGATACTGGTCCTACTGGATCTTTCCAGCAACCCTACCTTTTCCCGGGCGAAATAAACCGAGAGAACGGGTGATGCGCATGCAGGCAGTCACAGATTGTGACTTGGGCGCTGTGCTTTCGTCCCAATCATGGAATCACTTTGAAATACGAACTGTACAGATATATCAGTAAAGCTACGCACCTTTTGGCTCCAGGTAATGTCGTTGTTTTCATGCCCATTCATCTCCTCATCATAGCGCAAGGTATGTTGGATACAAGGGAATCATTATCGAATTCGAGCGGTCCCCCACCTTTCAAAAATTATCCAAAAGTGAGTTTGCAGCGTGTTCGTTCTTGTGCTGAATATGTTTGTGAGATGCCATTCGAGCTGCCATGGGCTTCTGATTCCTACCGACCGCGTCAACCAGTCCGACTGCCGTCCACCCTTGTCAAGCGTTGATTATAAAGCTGCCCCTGTTGAAGTCAGTTACATCAATTGTTTTGCCTGCGACACCTGCCAGTGGGCCATAAATCGGGCATTGATCGTGTCGGAACTGGTTCTAGCTATTGTGAGACAGTCGACACCGATGAAGAAAAGATACAAGACGCGTGCTATCAATACGCGTCAACTGGCAATGTTCCCTCGCTTAAATATCAGTCCAATCAAGATAAAACGACTTTCTTCATTCAATATAGTCTGCTAGAGAATACTAAGTGAGTCCTCGTTACAAGCCATAACAATGGACGTTACAATGACATTGGTTGGATAGCACACTCACGCCATAATACCCTCTCATCGGGAATTTATTTTACCGCCTCGGGCTCGAGCTCCAGAACGTGGTATACTACACCTGTCCATATCCGTCGAACTTCATCTCTTAGCTGCAGCTTCTCGTCCTCTCGATACGTGCCACTCATCAGTGAGGCCACCTTTGACAGCCTTAGCCCCAAGAATGTCCCCCGCTGATTCGAATGCAGCATTGTTGGAGGAAAGGAACCCATGGTGCCAACTCGTGTGAGCTAGTTGAGCACGGGCTGGGATACAGCAAATTCAGATACGACCGAGGCAGGGGACACAGAGTAGGTTCAGTAACGGCTATCCGGAAAGACTTTGGAGGTACAGGATGCCCATGGTCGAACGAGGGCTCGAAGTGAAACATGAACAATAACATGCAAAAGTATTGTTGTCGACTCCATGAATCATTGCAAGACCGGTGTCGTCACGTCAGAGGATAGAAGGCAAGGGTGGCTGTCGATGGGCCTCCAAACAAGGACCGCTTCTGCTCTGCGGATTAGGTTGCACAATAGCGTCTAACTAGGCGGCGACGGCGAGCTCTGCACGTCGTGTCGTAAAATGGCTTTCGCCTTCGCAGCTGCTTCTGGGACGTTATCTTCCTCAAATATCTTTGTAGCGAACTTGAAGATGTTGCGGCGGTGTCATCATGGTCTTCAGACTCCTTGAGCGTATCTTGAACACTGTCTTTTCGGTATTTCCTCGGTCGGCACGTCTTAGTTCATATAAAGTTGTAGACATCATCCGCGATACTTGCAACGATAGCCTCAGTTGCAATCCCTTCTTGTGCGCCTCGCTATACTTGAAGTTCAAGAGCTCTTTCCCCAGAGGAACATTTTCCGTGACCAATGGTCCTCGAAGGTCCGGATGCGCTACCGATTCGCGTTGAAAACGTTGTCGCTGCTACAGCACAAAAGTAGTGTTCTGCGAAAACAATACTTTTGGATGCCTTCGAGCCAGAGGAGGAACTGGAGGCGGCGGTACTATACGTACGTCGTAGATTTAATTAAGGACTCTCGTGTGAATTTGTTGCTAGTCACTCCGAGTCAGCGCTGTTTGGTGACCTAGTAATAGTACTACTTCTTCATCGACCACATAGTTGCATATGTCTCTGATTCGATTATAGACAGAGAATGAAGCAGACAGCTGGTGTGGTTGGCACCTTCCGCAGAACTATCAAACTACTGTGTCGCTTTTCTCAGGATATGTACACTCCAATTGTACTCGACGAAGTGTCTCAGGCATCTCCGAAAATTAATCACGAGATCATCGTAATCAAGAGCTAAAATAAGCCTCTGAATTAATTGACTGCGAACAACGGAGAGCACTGCAAACTCACTCCTTGCGGCAGCACTGCCAGCGTGTCCCATGTGTCATGTGACTGAAATCAAGCTCAACACCACCTCTGGGTATCACTGATGCAGTCCGAGAATTATAGAATGGTTCTCGAGAACCAGGTGGCACCCAGAATAATAGCTGTTTATTTGGTCCTGATACCCATCCATCGGCTCCCAGCAAAAACGTGTGGTCGTCATGGGAAGTGCCTGCCAGTAGCTCAGCAGTGTCGCACAGTGCATGTGCCGAGTTGGATGAGAAGGAAATAAAGACATCGTTCACAGTGTTGGGTGTGGTGATGGCCGCTGTTGGATGTGGGATGCAACTGCCATGCGGGGAGGATGGTGAATGGTCTTCTTCGGTGTGGTCCTGTAATGACTTCCTAATCATTGCATACCAGAGCCAGACAGTCCCATCGAATGAACAAGAAATGATGTGAGTACCATCCGGCGAGAACGAGACTGATGTGACCGAAGAAGTGTGCCCCGTCAATGGCTGACCAATTGGCTCCCCCGTCACTGCATCCCATAGCCGGACAGTCATATCGAGCGAACCAGAAACGATGCGAGTCCCATCTGGTGAGAACAATACTGAGTAGACCCAATCAGTGTGCCCATTCAAGGGCTCACCAACTGGCTGCCGCATTTCTGCATCCCACAGCCAGACAGTCCCATCACGCAAACCAGAAACGATGCGAGTCCCATCCGGCGAGAACGAGACTGAGTTGACTGAAGAAGTGTGCCCCCGCAAGGGCTCACCAATTGGCTGCTTTGTTCCTGCATCCCACAGCCAGATAGTCTTATCATCCGAACCAGAAACGATGTGAGTCCCATCTGGCGAGAACGAAACTGACTTGATAGAAGAAGTGTGTCCCTTCAAGGGCTCACCGACTGGCTGCCCTGTTCTTGCATCCCACAGCTGGACGGTTTCATCATCCAATCCTGTCACGATGCGACTTCCGTCCAGCGAGAATGAAACTGACCTCACCAAAGAAGTGTGTCCCCCCAAGGGCTCACAGATAGGCTTCCCTGTTGCCACATCCCACAACCGAACAGTCCTATCTGCAGAACAAGTTGCAATGCGAGTCCCATCTGGAGAGAACAAGACTGAGATAACCCAATCAGTGTGCCCCAGTAAGGGCTCACCAACTGGCTGCCCTGTCGCTGCATTCAACAGCCGGACAATGCCATCCTTCCAACCAGTCGCGAAGTGGGTCCCATCCAGCGATAGCAAGACTGAGGTAATGGAAGCAGCGTGCCTTTGCAATAGCTGACGAACTGGCTGCCCTACAGCTGCATCCCACAGTCGGACAGTGGTATCTGTCGAACCAGTCGCAATGCGAGTCCCATCCAGAGAGAACGAGACTGACATAACCCAATAAGTGTGCCCCAGCAAGGGCTCACCTACTGGCTGCCCTGTTGCTGCATCCCACAGCCGGACAGTTTGATCATCCGAACCTGTCACGATGCGAGTTCCATCCAGCGAGAACGAAACTGATCTCACCCAATCAGTGTGACCCTCCAGGGGCTCACAGACAGGCTTCCCTGTCGCAGCATCCCACAGTCGGACAGTCATATCTGCAGAACTAGTTGCGATACGAGTCCCATCCAGAGAAAATGAGACTGATAAGACCGAAGAAGTGTGCCCTTTCAAGGGCTCACTGGCTGGCTGTCCTGTTGCCGCTTCCCACAGTCGGACAGTCTTATCGTGTGAACCAGAAGCGATGCAAGTCCCATCCCGCGAGAACGACACTGAGTTAACCCTATCAGTGTGCCCCTGTAAGGGTTCACCAACTGGCTGCCGCGTTGCTGCATCCCATAGTTGAACAGTCTTATCATATGAACCTGTCACGATGCAAGTTCCGTTCGGTGAGAATGCGACTGACTTCACCAACCCAGTATGTCCCAATAAGGGTTCACCAATGGGCTGACATGTTGCCACATCCCACAACTGGACAGTGTGATCGTCCGAGCTAGACGCGATGCATGTCCCATCTGGCAAGAATGAAACTGAGTGAACTGAATCAGTGTGCCCCAGCAAGGGCTCGCCTACTGGCTGCCCCGTTGTTGTATCCCACAGCCGCACAGTGCGATCATCCGATCCAGTCGCAATGCGAGTCCCATCTGGCGAGAACGAGACTGACCTAACCCAATCGGTGTGTCCGCTGATCACCATCTGGACAGCTGTCCAGTTGATATCACGTCGAGATGCCAGACGAAGAGAGTTAGGAAACCATGCAGTGAACGTTTTGGATAGTGCAGAGTTAAGGGGAGAGAATGGCAGTGCTGATACGTAGAGATGAGGTGTACTGTGCAAGATGAGGCCACCAAAGATTTGGATAAATCTATGCACGTCCATTGCAGCGGACGAGGCTTCTTCGTATCCGGTGTGACTCTGTAATTGTGATTCCGCGTTAGTGAGCATGTTATCTGACGATAAATGACTATGTGCTCACCTTCAGCCACTTGGCGATAAGCGGGAGGGCGGGGACTACACCGCTGAGTGCATTGATAAGGCCAAGTGCCTCGAGCCAGAAGAATAGTCGCTCATGGTTGAAGAAGGATTTTATTTCTTTGGCAAGGTCTGGATCAAAGTCAATTGCTTGTACATGGACAAGCCAGGATCGGCAGGCATAGGATAGATGTGGGGGGATGCATTTTTCAACTCGTTCTCGCAGACCGGGATCTTCGGAGTTGGGGAGATACAATGATTTTAGATCGCAAATATTGAAAGAAAGTTCATATTCCATCACTCAAAGTGATGCGAAAGCAAGGTCTCGATGTGCTTTCGACACGTCAATGAAGAACTGTCATATCCCGCGTTCTGGACCTGGACCTGGACCAATCACACACATCATTTCTGGACTTCCGGATCCGGCCGACTTCTCTCTAACGTCCGGATCCGACCCACGTCTATCTTCCATGCCTTATCCCTTTGTATGTTCCTCCTCCAGTTAGACTATACTCATTTTCCGTACCTCGTTTCATTTCCGCCTTTATTTTCCTATGTCTTCATCTCCGTCTTCATTTACTATTTTCCGATAGACTAGTGTTTGACTTTTCTATACGCTCTGTCCACAGCCTCGCATAGCTTCGGACTGCGCAGACTGACTCTCCGTTAAGTCCTCAGTAGTATATAAACCCTGTAGAATCTTTGTACTTCCTCAGTTTGAATATTATCTTAGACTCTGCTCATTCCCTTCTCCGTCCGACTTGAGTTCTCCTCTCGTCGTCCTCCGCTAGTCTTAGGATCGATTCCTATAGACTTCTCACCTCCGCCTCTACCTCTGGTAGTCCTCCGCTGTTTCCTTTCTAGTTCGGACATCGTCTGGATTAGTCTTATCCTTCGTCCCCGAACGTCTGCCGGAATTCCCGTGCATCGGACATCGGACTCCGGACTCATCTGACAACCTCCGGACATTGTCCAACAGCCCTCGGAAGTTAGGGGCACATACTCGGGTAAGGGGCGCAGCGCACGAGCTGAAGCCAAGCCCTTCGGATCCGACCCTTGAGCACGTTCTTAACAAGAACTCTCCACTGCATTCGCGGTCTGTAAGGAAATCGCAGAAGGATGAAGGGGTCGGATGGGGGTGGATGAGCCGATGGTGCCACTGAGGAGGGATCCCATATGTTTGACCATGACTTGCACTTTGTAATGCTCGCTATTGTCTAGAAATCAGTTCCATATAACATTCAGGGACTCCAAAGAGAGGGGCTCAGCTGCGCCAAGGATTTGTCCCATCACAGAACAAAATCTCGTTAGCTGTTTGTGCAGAGACATAGAACGGGGAGATTGGTTTATTTGCATGATCTCTGTCAAAATGAAATCATACATATCATACAACAAGTTTTCCCGCTCAGCGGGATTGCAGGATACCACAGCATCGAAGGACTCGGATGAAGATAAGCCAGGAGGGGGTGCTTTGATGGATTTACAAGCAAGATGTGCCCACTCAAACAGGCCATCAGCTTTCTTAGCAAGCACTGCAAACTGTGTGTCCCCAAAATCCAAAAACTCTTCCAACTGGTTCATTATGTAAGCATGTATGTCGTGCTCTGCGATGGCTGATGAAATGTCGTCCATGGACATCCGTCAAATATGTTGAGCACCTGAAAACGCTGCTTCTATATCATGGAGTGGATGAGAAGTAACAATGATCCGGAAGTTTTTCAGAAGTTTCATGACATGAGTGATGGTTGGATCTTGAAGTTTACCGGCAAGAATGCGTAGAAGGTCGCTGCGTGTCTCTACTGCCTTGCCACTTTCGTCTAGTGCGTCAATGACGATCATGACAGGCCCTACAGGTGACTCAGAAAGCTTCCCTAGCGGTTCAATAAGAAGCTCCTGCCACTGCTGTACGACATCCGCTGTAGTCTTGAGCGCATTTGTGTTCCGGACTGCATCCGCTAATGCTTGTCTCATCTGGGGATGGCGGTCAGCCAGGTCGCGTGTGATGGTGGAGAAGACCTTTTTATGGTGATTGTCCATGTTTCAGTCGAAGCAGTAACAAGAACCGAGTCCGCCCACCCCAATGAATGAGCTAGCGATCGTGTGAGCGATGGCTGATTTACCCGTTCCAGCAGGGCCAGATAGCCATAGCACACGTGGAGCATCATCTTCACTGTTGTTGATCCATCTCATGATGTTGGAGAGAATATCTGTGTGCGTCCCTGGCAGACATCGTTTCCTAGTATCTAGTCCTGTGGCCTCCACATAAGCCATACCACTGAGGTCCAGTATTTCACCTGTAAAAGTGTAAATGAATGTTGAGCCAGAAGCAAGTCCGAATTCTTACCTGTATGGTGGATGTAGATGGCTACGTCACGAGCAACTTGGTCCCGAAAGTTTTGCATAAGCGCATCCAACACGTTATTATACCATTGTATTGTATCGTCTGTTTCTGAGACAACATTCTTTCCAAGTCTCTTCCCTATGATAAAATTGAGAATCTGCAAAGTGAAATGACTTGTTGGAGAGACTCACAAAAGTTCTTCTTCTCTGAATAATCCCTAATGAAATGCGCACATTCAAGGATCTGTTGAGAGATCTGTCCCAAAATGGTGCTCATCAACAAAATCTGATCAAGTGTGTCATCTTGTGTCATGAAGCCATACACTTGACCCAACTTCTTGTAGAGGTCAAGTATCGCTTCATTGCGATCCACTTGAGCAAGAATTATCTGCAAGCAGAACAACTGAGCAGGAAGTGTGAATAAGAGCAAAGAAAAACATACTTTCAATGCGCAAGATAGCACACCCAATGCCATCTTTGCATATGGATGTACCTGCTGAACAGTATTAGTCCAGTTCTGATGAGGAGAGAGATCATATTTCTGCGAGTTCCCCGATCACAGTGTCGAATATCCTGAGGGGTTGAAGATATGTGGCCTCCATACTGTCCATATCATCGAGAGCTGCTGGTGCATTTTGGCCTGCAGACGCTACGGATCTGATAGGTCCCAAAAGTGCATTTGCACCACCATAGGCGTCCCGAAGTGCCACGTCCACCGACTGGGGATCGGCACCTTGTTTCACACCAGTAGAAGCATCCTGAATGGTGGCAGGTTGAACCTGTGCGGCCAGTAGATGTTAGACAGAGAGAGCAGAAACTGGAATGTCACCTACCTCAATATTGGGAATTGATGAGCCTTCATGATCGACGTTAGGGAGAACAGGGTCGCGGCTGCGCAAATCCTTCGAGTTCGAGCACTTGCATACGACATCAGCCTAATCTCAGTATACTCAGCATTGATTTCAACTCAATTTCGACTCACAGAAATATTTGTGATCACACATACTGCAGTGAATCATACCCGTATCTTACGGTCAGCCCAATGTGACAATTGCCCATACCATACGGGCCATCCCATGTGGGCCCAAGGGCATATTTTAGAGGTAATATGCAGCTGGGCCCATGAATATATTGTAGAGGTAATATATGGTTGGGCCCATGAGTGTATTGTAGATGTAAATATGGCTGGGCCCATAGTGCTAGTTGGCCTCTCGGCTGGTCTACTATATGGTCTCTGAGCTGGCCATGAAATGAAAATTTTGGCCAGTCCATATTGAGTCTCGGCCATGATAATAAAACATCGGCTGGTCCATATGGTGCCTCGGCCAGCCATGACACCAAAATGTCGGCCGGTCCATATTAAGTCTCGGCCATGACAATAAAACATCGGCTGGTCCATATGGTGCCTCGGCCAGCCATGATACCAAAACATCAGCCAGTCCCTATGGTGCCTTGGTCAGCCATGGAACTAAAATGTCGGCCGGTCCCTATGGTGCCTCGGCCAGCCATGACACCAAAATGTTGGCTGGTCCATATGGTACCTCAGCCAGCCATGACACCAAAATGTCGGCCGGTCCATACAGTACCTCGCTAGCCATGACACCAAAATGTCGGCCGGTCTATACAGTACCTCGCCAGCCATGACACCAAAATGTTGGCCAGTCCATACAGTACCTTGCCAGCCATGACACCAAAATGTCGGCCGGTCCATATGGTACCTTGGCCAGCCATGATACCAAAACATCGGCTGGTCCATATGCTCCCTTGGCCAGCCATGACACCAAAACATCAACCAGTATGAAAACAACGATCCTACTGGGCAGCAGGAAAATGTTGGGTCTTGCTAGAAAAAGAGTGAAAGAGACACTCCAAGCCAATGACACCCAGCTGAGTTCCAGGAGCTAAGTAGTGAGCTGAAGAAGCTACAACTAGGAAAGTTACAACTAGGGAATGCTACTAAATAACTCAAGTTAATGGGGAGCCATCAAGAACTGGAAACTGGGGAAACTAGGCAATGACTGTAGAGTCCTAGGCGAAGGTAGAAGATGATTATATAAGCAGCAAAATGTGGACATAATCTAAGGAAAGTGTCAGGAAAAGATGCTATGTAAACACCCTCAATTGCCACCCAGTGGAGAGTTGAGTGTCATATCTCATGGGGGCTTTGAATACTAATTGTCCCCAGTCAGTCCATCACCAAGAAACAGAAAAGACTGCCAAGGAAAGTGCAAATGGTGAATATCTCCAGTCAAAATCACCTTCTCCAACCACTGAATCTCTCCACCAAGTCTAGCAAAACACCCATCTACTCTCTCTGAAACTTCCTCAAGATGGTTAAGGATGGGATGGAGGATAGAATCCAAGGTGGGCATGGATGAGGGCTGAGAAGCAGGAGATGGAGGAGGAATGGATGAAGGAGGAGCAGGGAGTGGTGTCTGAGTGTCCACAGACTGGCCAGCATTTTGGTGTCATGGCTGGCCAAGGGAGCATACGGACCGGCCAATGTTTTAGTGTCATGGCTGGCTGAGGGACCATATGGACCGACTGACATTTCAGTGTCATGGCTGGCAGAGGTACCATATGGACTGGCCGATGTTTTAGTGTCATGGCTGGCAAGGTACCATATGGACCGGCCGACGTTTCAGTGTCATGGCTGGCAAGGTACCATATGGACCAGCCGACGTTTCAGTGTCATGGCTGGCAAGGTACCATATGGACCGGCCGACGTTTCAGTGTCATGGCTGGCCGAGGTACTGTATGGACCGGCCGACGTTTTGGTGTCATGGCTGGCGAGGTACTGTATGGACCGGCTGACATTTTGGTGTCATGGCTGGCCGAGGTACCATACAGTGGACCGGCCGACATTTTGGTGTCATGGCTGGCCGAGGTACCATATGGACTGGCCTTTGCATAGATTAGTCAGTAGGGGTAGAGCCTTTGGGCATTGTCATAGGTAGCATTATTATTAGGTCAAGGCCATACCAGCTTCCATCTGCCAGAGGCAGGCACATTGCCAGCCATTCCAGTCCAATGGCTGGCTGAGGGACCATATGAACCGGCCGATGTTTTGGTGTCGTGGCTGGCCAAGGTACCATGTGGACTGGTTGATGTTTTGGTGTCATAGCTGGCCGAGGTACCATGTGGACCAGCCAATGTTTTGGTGTCATGGCTGGCCAAGGTACCATGTGGACCGGCCAACATTTTGGTGTCATGGCTGGCCGAGGCACTATATGGGCCAGCCAAGAGGCTAACTAGCACCATGGGCCCAGCTGTATATTACATCTATAATATTACCTATGGGCCCAGCCATATATCATATCTACAATTTATCCATTGGCCCACAGGTATACTACTCAACTAGTATGGGCCCAGCCAAGACTCACGAGTATTGTCAATGATGGGCCCAGCCATATGTTACAGCTACAATTGCCCATGGGCCCATCTGGGATGGCCCGTATGGTATGGGTGATTGTCACATTGGGCTGGCCGTAAGATACGGACTATTTCACTGAATGGGCTCGTGATCACATCATTCGTAACCTTCCCTAGAAACCGACAGATTTTGCCACGGGGTCGGCCCTAGACATAGACAAAGGATGCATTGACAAGAGTCAGCGCCTCAACTTCATGAATATCAACCACCTACCGGGCGTTCAGCAGCGTTTGTTTCATGGCGTGTCTCGATGTCCAGAGGAGGAACTGACCTTGAGTTCCCCAATTGATTGTCGTCATTCATGGTGATTCAATACTTGAGGTCGATGATGAGTCTGACCGTAGTAAAGTGGAACAAGAAATCACCCTTGGCACCACTTTAAAGAGGTTCACATGGTCTATCAGCCTGGTTTCTTTGTTATGGGAAACTAGGCTGAAAGCCTATCATCCCTCGGAGGGTTCTCCCTCATTTCTACAATAGGATCCTGCCCTTCGGAGGATAATTTACTCAGGTTTGCTCGGAGGTTCAGGCAGGGGCTCTGGAGGTTCTAAGTACATTTTACACTCCTCCTTGTAGTGCTGTACTTCCTCATCGCCTCTCATCATACAATGCTCTCGCTCCGCTGCTGTGCATGTTAGTAGGTTCACTCGGAAGTTCTGGCAGGAGCTCCGGAGCATACAGCACTGTCAAATGCTCTCGCTACCTACATTCCCCCTCACCTCTCTCGTCATACAGCGCTGTTCACTGCCTTTGGCTCACTGCCATGCATGTCACACAGTGCGCTATGCATCCGCCACCCTCTCTGAGCTTTGGAGAAAAAAATTCAATTGACGGTTCTAAATAGCTTCGTTTATTACTAGCTTCGAAAATGATTAGCTTTGAATCAATCTTTTTCAAGTGTTATCGATGCTCATGTCAGGTACATTGTGAGCCTCAAATGCATTTCGTTCAACGAGCGTGCTATGTCAGGTAGCTTGCGAGCTTCGCATACATCTTATTTAGCAAGACTTTTCATTTATCAGAGGGTCTTTCTGAGTGTTCTTGAACCTCAAATGCCTCTTGTTCCACCAAAGTTCTCACTGCGCGAACCTCAAAGACTTCATTTTGTTCAACTGGTAGGACTTGTGATTCATCAGAATATAAAAGTACATGCATAGTCTATCATTGAACGCGACCATGTACTACCATTCAAAAGTAAGAACGAAAGCAAGAATGAGCGACATATGGACATAAACAATATTAAAAACATGCAGGCTATCAAGGGCAAGAAGACGAGGCTCAATTATGGACAGACTGTGACAAAAAGGACCCTGGGAGGACTCAGATGCACGCAAGAAGTAAGAGGACGACATCTAGTTACCTTCAGACTGGGCCGGAGAAGAGGAATACTCCATCAGACCAGGCAGAGGGCTCATCCTAGGACTAGAACGGGGTGTGCGTACGTTCTCTGCAGCCTGATATGCCATGGACCCATACTGAGGCTGCCAACCTTCATGCATGCCACATCCATCATGACCTGGCACTAGGTTTTGGTGAAGGTAAGGGATGGGGCGCATGCCCTGCTGGTCTCCACTTGGGTATGTCACCCTGTTATCATGGTACTCCACTGTGTATGCAGCTCCTTGCTGAGGGGCAGGTACACGATCATACATTTCGGTGTGCTGCGGAGGAACACGTGTGCGAGTGTCGTTAGTTTCCATGTCCTGCTGCTGCTGAGCTGGTGGGCGAGCATCGTAAGTTTGGATGCGCTGCTGATAAGCAGGTGCATGCATGTTGTAGGTGTGGGGTGCGGGGTTGGGATGCATACCATTGCGCTGGGCATGGCTATAAGCGGCAACACCTGAAAGCGCCTGGAAGGGTTGAGCAGACTGTTGATAGTCGATCTGGCCATGGCGCTGATCAGGGTAACTCTGATGTTGCGGCACCTCGAGATGTTGCCCATATGGTGACGGCACAGGGAGGGCTTGCATGTACTGCTGTGAGTTGGTTTGCAAGGCAGGACCTCGCTGATCTGGGCGTGGAGGTTGCCGAAACATGGGCGATGGAGAGGAGGGGGCAGATGTCATGACCTCCTGAGATTGCTCCCTCATAGCAGAGCCGTTACAAAGTGGCTCTTTGTTAAGAACATGCTCAAGGGTCGGATCCGAAGGGCTTGGCTTCAGCTCGTGTGCTGCGCCCCTTACCCGAGTATGTGCCCCTAACTTCCGAGGGCTGTTGGACAATGTCCGGAGGTTGTCGGACGAGTCCGGAGTCTGATGTCCGATGCATGGGAATTCCGGCGGACATTCGGGAATGAAGGATAAGACTAATCCGGACGATGTCCGAACTAGAAAGGAAACAGCGGAGGACTACCAGAGGTAGAGGCGGAGGTGAGAAGTCTATAGGAATCGATCCTAAGACTAGCGGAGGACGACGAGAGGAGAACTCAAGTCGGACGGAGAAGGGAATGAGCAGAGTCTAAGATAATATTCAAACTGAGGAAGTACAAAGATTCTACAGGGTTTATATACTACTGAGGACTTAACGGAGAGTCAGTCTGCGCAGTCCGAAGCTATGCGAGGCTGTGGACAGAGCGTATAGAAAAGTCAAACACTAGTCTATCGGAAAATAGTAAATGAAGACGGAGATGAAGACATATGAAAATAAAGGCAGAAATGAAACGAGGTACGGAAAATGAGTATAGTCTAACTGGAGGAGGAACATACAAAGGGATAAGGCACGGAAGATAGACATGGGTCGGATCCGGACATTAGAGAGAAGTTGGCCAGATCCGGAAGTCTGGAAATGATGTGTGTGATTGGTCCGGGTCCAGGTCTGGAATGCAGGATATGACAGTATCCCCCCTTTAGGGCCGAGCCCACGAGGCTTCTGATCTGGAAGTCCAGACTGGACTTCTATGAATGCGGGATGATGGGTGGAGCTCGTAAAAATAGAACTGGACATATAAGTAGGCCGGGGTGCCCATGAGACGTCTAAAACTTTCCCCCTAACTCCTATTACTGTTTTAACATGTCTAACTCCACTTCCGGCAACTCGAAGTCCGCCCAGCAACTCCTCCAAGAGAGGCAGGTGGAAATGGCAGCCGAAATCGTGCGACTCGAGGTGGACGCTCGGAGAGAGGCGGAGGAAGAGGAGCATAAACGCAAGGAGGCGGAAGAGGAATGGAAACGGATGGAGGAACAGAAATGGAAGGATATCGAGGAGACTCGGAAAAGGTTGGCTGAGCGCGAGCAGGAGTGTTTGGCAAAGGCTAGGATGGGCAACACGTCGGAGGTGAGTCGGATGAGGTTTTTTGTGTTTTTCCGGAGTTTAACAAAATGTTAGTCCTCCGGTCCGGCGGATCCGGAGGTCGCGTGTGAGATGTGTGTCCTTAGGCGCAAGATTTGCACCTGGGCAGTAGCGTCTAAGACGCCTAGGGTGAGTGTTCTGTTTTGTCCGGATCCGGATGATTACTGATGATTCCGAAAGATCCGGACTTGCGACCAGTGCTGCACGTCCAAGGAAAAGTGCGTCGGCGGAAATCCGCCTGTCAAGGCGCCGGCCGGCAAAGGCAAAGGCAAGAAACGCGCGTGTCTGGAGGGATCTCCGAGCCCCAAGGGCAAAGGCAAAAGGCAAAAGGCGTCAGTGGAGTCCGGAGGACATCGACGATGACGTGGAAATAGTGTCCAATCCCTGGACGATCATTGGGGAAGATCAAGACTGGGCGGAGTATGATGACCAGGCCTGGGTCGCAGCCGCCAACAACATTGTGGCGGAACTGGCCCAGACCAATGGGCTGATGGAGAGGAGTGTTGCAGCGGCAGAAGGAAGTAGGGCTGCGATGGACTGGGTGAGTGAGAACATGCTCCAGTTCATGGAGGAGCAGAGGGTGTTCCAGGCTCTCTTCATGGAGAGTCTGAGGAACGGTTTCTGGATGCATGTGGAGGATGCTCCAGAGGAGGAAAATGGGGAGGAGGCGGAAAAGGAGGCCGGCGGATCCGGCGGAGACATGGAGATGGATTCTTAGGTCATCGGATCCGAAGTCCGGATGTCGGACACCTAAATAATGTAAATATATGCATGTCTTTTTTACTCTTTGTTAGAAGTTGGTCCCGGCTTATCCGGATATGCTGAGTGGAAATCTGATAGAAGTTCCAGCACATTTCTGAGTTTGGTTGCGAGTATCCAGGAAGTTTCTTCGTCTGTTCCCTCGTATCCGGCCCAACGTACTAAGTATAATAGTTGGCAGTGACGTCTCCAGCGGTCGATCTTGGAGTTCAGAATTTCGGAGATTTCATATTCCGGTTCTCCGTCGACTAATACCGGAGGTGGAGGAGGTTGGATGCGATTCGGAATGGTGTTAGGAGTTGCAGGTTCTAACTGAGAGACATGGAATATGGGGTGCACAGATCGCATAGCATCTGGAAGACGGATGGTGAAGGAGTGGGTGCCAGGATGAGCGATGATGTTGAATGGTCCGAGATTCTTTTCTGAGAGCTTTTTCGATGGTCGGGTCGAGCAGAAATATTTTGCTTTGACGAAGACCTGATCTCCGACTTTGAAGTCCGGAGCGGGTTTCCATCTAGCGTCTGTGGGTCCCTGATATCGTTCTTGGGCATGGGACATTTCTTCTTGGAGGAATTGATGAAGCTCGTCTAGATCTATGGCATAATCCTGGGCATGGGCGGAGGAGAGATCACACTCTGGATGTATGGAAATGTTTGGGTGATAACCCTTATTGGCGAAGAATGGCGAAACTCCGGTGGTAGCACTTGGAGCGTTGTTGTAAGCAAACTCGGCCAAGGGTAATAGTTCCGACCAATTATCCTGCTGATAGTTACAGTAGATACGGAGGTATTGTTCTAGGGTCTGGTTAGCTCGCTCGGTTTGTCTGTCACCTTCCAGATATCATCCGGAAGTGAAGTGGAGGATCATGTCAAGTGCTTTTCCGAGTGACTGGAAGAAGTGGGAAACGAATTCCGTACCGCGGTCGGAAGTAACATGAGACGGAACTCTGTGTTTGGAAAACACATGGAGGAGGAATAACCGGGCGAGGTCTGGAGAGGTGATGGTGTCGTAGGTTGGGATGAATATGGATTGCTTGGATAGTCGATCTATGACTACCAGGATGGCTGTGAAGCCGGAGGAATCGGGGAGTTGTTCGATGAAGTCCATGGATATAGAATTCCACGGCTTCTCGGGGATGGGGAGTTGTTTCAATAGTCCATATGGTTTGTGTCTCGGAACTCTGGCTCGGGCGCAGGTTGTACAAGACTTGACATAGTCCTTGACATATGCGCGAATTCCGGGCCAAGTATACTCCCGACGGATAATTTCCAGGGTCCAGTTCTAACCGAAATGTCCAGATAGGGGGTGGTCGTGTGTATTCCGGAGTACTTGGAGATGGAGGTCATTGGATTCCGGAACATATATACGGCTGTCACAACGGAGGAAACCACTTTCGTCCACTGTCCATCTCGGGTCCGGCGGATCCGGAAGATGACTGGAAGCGATAGGGTCATGGGGGAGGGCGGACAGAATGTCCTTATGAAGTTGCTCGACATCCATTAGTACAGCTGCCCGGAGCACCGGAATTGCTAGGTGTGATGCCCAGAGGGACAAAGTGAGCTGTTCTGTGGTAAATATCGGCCGGAGGTTGTGTGGATTAACTTGAGTGTAGTCCTTATCCCCCTCTTTGGGGTAGACGTCCCAACGTCTAGTTAGGCAGTCGGGCTTTGCTCCGAGTTTTCCGGGTCGGAAACGGATAATGAGATTAAACTGATGGAGGTATTCCAACCAGCGGGCCTGGCGGCGGGTGAGAAGTTTTGTGGTAGTGAAATACTCAAGGTTCTTGTGGTCCATGACAACGTCTATTGGCTTGGCAGAGCCTTCAAGGTAGTGTCACCAGGACTGGAAAGCTTCGTAGATAGCTAAAAGTTCCTTATCATGGGTATCGTAGTTGAGTTCCGGAGCCGAAAGGGTTCGGGAGTAAAAAGCAACCGGGCGGAGCTCCTGGTCTGGACATACTATAGAAAGTATTCCGGCGATAGCATAGTCAGAAGCGTCCGTCTCAACGACGATAGGAACATCCGGCATCCAGTGCGTAAGCACTAGAGCGGTAGTGAAGGCTTTCTTGAGAGTGTCAAAGGATTTCTGGCCATCCTCGGAGAAATTCCAGGGAGCATCCTTGCAAGTGAGCCGCGTAAGCGGAACTACAATATCCGAGTAGTTAAAGATGAAACAACGATAGAAATTGGTGAATCCAAGGAACAATTGAATATCCTTAACTTTCCGGGGTTCCGGCCAGTCACAGATAGTCTGGACTTTGTCCGAAGACATGGTAAGGCTGGCCGGAGATAGGAGGTAGCCGAGGTATTCTACGGAGTCGGAATGGAATTCGCACTTCTCCGGTTTAGCATATAGATGATGCTTCCGGAGGCGTCGGAGGACTTCAAGGACATGTTGTTTGTGGGATGCAAGGTCTGCGGAATAAATGAGGATGTTGTTGAGATACACAATATCACATATGTCAAGCATATCGGCAAAGATGGTGTTGACAAAGCGTTGGAAAGCCGCCGGAGCATTGGTGAGACCCTCGGGCATAACCAACCATTCATAGGAGCCATAGCGTGTCCAGAAAGCAGTTTTCCACTCGTCTCCTTCCGCCATCCGGACTAGATGGTAAGCGGACCAGAGGTCAATTTTAGTGTAAACTTTAGCGCGGCTCGGAGAATCGAGAAGGTTGGAAATGAGGGGAAGAGGGTAGCGGTCTTTCTTTGTGATTTTATTGAGTCCTCGGAAATCTACGCAGAGGCATAGGGAGCCATCCTTCTTCTTGACAAACAGGACAGGGGCTCCGTGCGGAGAGGATGAGGAACGGAGAAGTCCTGTTGCAATATTCTCATCAAGGAATTTGCGGAGAGCTACAAGCTCGACCAGAGAAAGGGAATAGATGGTGCCAAGGGGCAGAGCCGCTCCTTCTTCCAAATTGATCTTAAGATCATAGGGACGATGGGGAGGGAGCTGTCCGGCTTTGCTTTTATCAAAGACATCCGCGTACTCATGATATTCCGAAGGGATTCCAGATAGGTTCGGAGGTTCAGAGGAGAGTGTAGCAGAGCAGAGATTGACACCGGTGGGTCGGATGAAAATACTGAACTGGACCGAACCCTCTAATTTACAGGCCCAGCAAAAGGCAACTGCATTGATTAGGGAAATATTGGGAACGGCGCTATCAGCGGAGGGACTAGGCGGGGTTGTGGGAAGGGTTTCCGCCGGAGCCGGCGGAAATGAGGTCGGAGGGGGTGAAGGCACTCCATGAGGAATCGGACAGAAATCGATGCTGCCCTTTACCCAGTCAATCAACGGATTGTGTCGGGTGAGCCAGCTATATCCTAGAACGATGGAACAGGATGAGTCCAACGGAGTAACATAAAATGTTTCGGAGGTAACCACGCCGGTCGGAAAACAGATCGGTAAATCTACTGCCTTGGTAATCGTGGCATTAGAAGTACCATCAAACAAGTGAAGCGGAAGCGGAGGGATTGCATAGGTCAGAATGTTATTTTCTCAGATTAGTTTGGTTTCTACAAAACAATGGGAAGAACCACAATCTACAAGAGCCGGGAACGGAGAGATATCAGGAAAAGTAGAGATGGAAATATTTGGCATAAGCGAGTTCGGATTGGAAAGAGAAACAGCATTGAGACATAGCTCCATTGCGTGGGTTGAGTCAATGCAACCCTCGTCCCGCGTGGAGTCAAGAGGGTCGTGGACTAATTTTTTGTCTCTTCCGAGACCTCTGGTTTGGCTTCCGGAGTCACCATGCTAGCACGACCTTTGGCCGCACAGGAAGTGGACTTTAGGCAGTCCCGGGCAGTATGACCAGGTCCGCCACAGAAGAGGCAGAGCTTCTTTTCCATGCGCCTCTGGCGCTCCTCGGAGGTGAGTTTACCGTCTTTTCCGAGCTTGGATGTCAAGTCCGGAAGTTTGGCGGAGGAGGAAGCCGAAGCGTTTCTGGATTTCCCGCCAGAGTATTCTTTCCGGTCGGAGGTGGAAGCTGACTGCTTAGTAGGAGGGGTGGATGCGAAGGGTTTGGTTTTGCGGGAGACTTCTCCCTTGCGTTCCCAGTATTGGGCATCGATAGTCTGGGCGAGGGTTTTGTATTGGGACAGAGTGGTGGGTTTTCCTTGACGACTGATTTCGTCCTTGATGCGAGCCGGAAGTCCGTTGTAGAACTGACGGTGCAAAGCTCTGTCGCCCCAACCGCAGACTTGGGAAGCGAGCCATTGGAATTCTACAACATACTTGTTGATGCACTGTCCATCGCGCATATAGAGCTGTTCCAGCTGCATTTCCGCATCTCCGACCGGGTCGTGAGGTCCGAAGTTAGTTTGGAGTTCTAACATGAACTCGGAGTAGTCATCCATCCACTCCGGACGATCTGCTAGATCATCCGAAAGGAGGTCCAGCTCAAACCATTCAAGGGCCATGCCCTTGAGGTATGATTGCGCGAAGTTGACCTTAGCGCGGCCGGTGCGGAAAGACTTCGGCTTAGCTTGGAAGTTAAGCTCACATTGGACAAAGAACGCCCGGAGCTTCCGGGGCTCAGTGCCATCGAAGGTGTCCGGTTCTCAGACTTTGATTTTGGAGTCGTCAGGGATAGTGGAGCGGCGGTTGTTACGCGCCAGGTTATTGATTGCCTGAGACAGGCAGAGGAAGACCAAGTCTTGTGGACCGAGACCTTCATTTTCATCGTCAGTCGGGTCTTCCGGAGGTTCATCATCCAGGTCACCTCCCCCGTCATCCAGCGGATCTCTGCCCGGAGTATCTTCATTTTCCGGGAGGAATCCGGCTGGTGTGCGAGTTGGGGTTTCTGGGTGCGGATGATTCATGAGTTGAGAGATGCTGGATGTAGCGCCCTGCGCACTAGCGCGACGCTGTGAAAAGCTAGTGAATGCATCGACTATGGGAGTAGAATCACGTCGGGCGGTTACTAAGCCCGCCGCGTGGAAGTTGGTCTGAGTGGTTGTAGGTGCCATGAATGTAAGTATACTCGGTAAGGTGTGAGTTCGAATATACTGTTAAGAACGTGCTCAAGGGTCGGATCCGAAGGGCTTGGCTTCAGCTCGTGCGCTGCGCCCCTTACCCGAGTATGTGCCCCTAACTTCCGAGGGCTGTTGGACAATGTCCGGAGGTTGTCGGACGAGTCCGGAGTCTGATGTCCGATGCATGGGAATTCCGGCGGACATTCGGGAATGAAGGATAAGACTAATCCGGACGATGTCCGAACTAGAAAGGAAACAGCGGAGGACTACCAGAGGTAGAGGCGGAGGTGAGAAGTCTATAGGAATCGATCCTAAGACTAGCGGAGGACGACGAGAGGAGAACTCAAGTCGGACGGAGAAGGGAATGAGCAGAGTCTAAGATAATATTCAAACTGAGGAAGTACAAAGATTCTACAGGGTTTATATACTACTGAGGACTTAACGGAGAGTCAGTCTGCGCAGTCCGAAGCTATGCGAGGCTGTGGACAGAGCGTATAGAAAAGTCAAACACTAGTCTATCGGAAAATAGTAAATGAAGACGGAGATGAAGACATAGGAAAATAAAGGCAGAAATGAAACGAGGTACGGAAAATGAGTATAGTCTAACTGGAGGAGGAACATACAAAGGGATAAGGCACGGAAGATAGACATGGGTCGGATCCGGACATTAGAGAGAAGTCGGCCGGATCCGGAAGTCTGGAAATGATGTGTGTGATTGGTCCGGGTCCAGGTCCAGAACGCGGGATATGACACTCTTGCATTGGCCTTGATGGTAGCTCCCTGGCGCCGCTGGTAGCTCCAGAGCCTCCACCAGTCTGAGGTCCCTCATACGCCGTCCTTGGAACTGGCTCCTCGGAGGCACCTGTGCCTCTTTCGCGCGCATCAATCATCCCACCTTCGTAAAATGCAACCTGCCTTGCAGCCACTGTGGAACCTGGAAGGACCTTCTTCGGCTTTGGACGCTCTTTCACCTCCTCCGATATCTTCTCCAGATTTACTGGACCATCTCGGAGTCGCAAAGGCTTGTGAGCTATGAAATTATAGTCAATGGCAGCACATTGTATGCAGGTCAGGCTCATGTACTTGGTTCTTCCATGACTTCATCTTTTTCTCCCTCTCCTTCAGAATCTGACATGACAGTGCGATAATGAGGTTGATGAGAGCGTTCGGGTGCACCCTTCTGCATGCTAGTTGTTGCCTTGTCTGAATAGTGTGCGGGCCCAGGTGCTCTCCCCTTTCCCTTTGCGCGACTCTTCCCTTTCGGTGAGTTAGCCAGCTCGATGTCACTTGATGGAGCACGGCGCTTATAGTGAGCACCCCCAGATGCTTTTGCCTTGCGTTTGTGGGATTCGGCTTTCTCCTCGTAGTCAGAGCCGGAGTCGTCTTCCTCAGATCCAGATGACGCCTTGACCGAATCATCATGAGCGATGGTGTTGGTAGGCACTGGCATCACCTTCGATTTGGGGTATCTGACAACCTTGAAAGGGCGTGAAGGGGGGACGTCAACTGAGACTACGAGTTTCTTCTGAGGTACGGCGGCGGAAGGGGGAGTGACATCAATGACAATGGGGGTTTGAGTGGGTGCAGGCTTCTGTCCCGTCAATGGCTTAAACTTCTTGACTTTTGTTGTTGCTGTACTTGGCCGGAGGCCAGGCAGCCCTTCACGATCCACAACCCCATTGGCAAGCAGCCGCCGGCCCTGGGAGTGAATAGAGTTTGGAGGGGGAGCCTCCCCCATGATGACGGCGTGGCTCTGAGATTTGTCCTTATGATCTAGTAACGAGATCAGTATATATTGATAATAGATTGATGAATACATACCTGTGGTCCCATTTCCACAATGCTTGATAACTAACGTGCCTGCCTTCAATGCCTCTGCAAGGATCACTTGTTCCCTTTTGTCGAGATCATTGATACCCTTGCTCCTAATGGTAGAGCGCGTCTCTCCTGGCATCAGAACGTCCTCTGGATAGCCTTCCATAACAAACCCTTGATGATCGAAGTCACCATGGAGCTTCTTCCAAGGGAAATGGCCAGAGCGAATGGTGAGTTTCCCACCTAGCTCCTTTTGAGAATGGTCAATAAAATGACAAGCAACAATATTGAGGGAGACATATACTCACTGACTAATGCAACGATCCCGCCCTTGATACATTGAAGATGGTCAGCTTGGAGTCGCCAGTCGTCAACATCCGAGTCAGGGACCTCTAGAACCTCCGGTCCATCTTTGGTGGGCTGTCTGGATGCTTGGGAGGGTGTATATCTACGTGACAGCTCAATCTCCTTCGCGCTTGATGCGTTGTCAGCCTGCATGCCCTTGGCTACTGAGAGTGATGCAAGGTTGCTGGAAGGAGAGTTAGAATCCAACGAGCCTGGTACATGGATGTAGACTTACTAAACATGTGCCTTTAGATGCCCGATCATTATATCTTCATCTGCAAGGCAGCGCGTGGCCCAAAACTGAGGGCATGGAGTAAGGGCCTAATATACAAGAGCAGAGGAACAACTTACATCTTCTGCACCTGGAGTCGTGTGTATGTGCCCAAGCGACGCATCTTGATTGACCACCTTACTGCAGATGATGAACACTCCTTCAAAGCCATGTTTGGCGGAGGCTGAGTCCATCTAGATACAATTAAATGTCACGATGTCAGTACTCTGCACAATGAATCAGATATAAATGTGAGACGCATGGTGCTTGTCACTTTCTTCCAAACCTTATTAAAGTCTTGCATTCACTGAGAGACTGTTTGAGGCCCGCCTATCGTCATCTCAGCCTCCTCAAACACCTCGAGGATGTCTTGCCATGTATCTGGGTAAGCAAGTTGGAACACCTTATAGCATTCACCTCGGATTGTTGATGTAATTTGGGCGTTATCAGTGCCAACATCCTTGCCGAGCCTCCGTAGTTCCTGTGTTCGATTCACCTTCAAGTAGTGCCCATATACATTCCAATGATTGAAGGCGGAATGAATCCGACCACGAGCCTTGTGATATGCGTGAGATATTTGCTGTAGAGGTAAGCCAGTTTTCGCAACAAGGTTGTTGAAGATGTCATCGATGACCTTGAACTGCTCGTCTAACAAACCATTCACCTCATCCGTTCGGCGTCCGACCAGCGCAGTTCCTGAGGATCCTTCCTCGTTGCCATTGTCCTGGAACATGTCTTGTGCAGTAGCGGGAGCACCAAGTGATGGTTGGGGTATGGCCTTAGCAGCCTGAGGCGTGGGGGGAATAATCCGGGTCTTGGGCAAACCCAAGTCATGTAGATCACCAACTTCATAGTGAGGACTGAAGTCCCCACCATCTACAGGCACCCATGAAGCGTCTAGGCCTGAGAAGTTGTAGGTGTCAGGAGTGATTGGCCGTGACATGCCTCTGGAGGATGATGAGGGATGACCTTGACCCATTGGCTGCGACATGCCTCCTGAGGATGATGAGGGATGACCTTGACCAAATTCGATCAAGGAACCAAACTCCGGCTGCAAAGGAAGCGCATTGTGTATGCTAGACAGTTGCGGAAGGAGTGGAAGGACATGATTGGGTTGGGAATCAGATGGTGCGGGAGGAAGTGGAGGGAGCGGAAGGAGTGGAAGGGGAACATTAAGCTGAAGATTTGGAGAGATGGGAGGCTCGCGTGGCCCTGAAGGGTGTCGATGCGGCTCACGTGACATGCTTCGTTGCCGCAGATCACCATAGAACCTTTGGCTACCTTGCATAGGGATGTTGGGAAGCTCTTGCTGCAATACATGGGGCTCCCACTGTCCAGGAGCTGTCTGAGTAAGTTGCTGTGGATCAACAGAGTGCGATCGACCCCAAGGATCAGCATGGCTATCCTCATGCGCATTGTCAGCAAGTAGTTTAGCTCTCCTGTCCTGGGCACTTTTGACGACACCCGAATCACGTGCTGTAGCCTTGATACAGGTCCGTAACTTTGTTGGTGTTGGTACAAATGGAGGTGATGTATGGCGGCGGCCACCCCCAATTTGCTCAGAGGGAGCCTCACAAGTGTCTAAGCTTGACTCTGACATGTGTTTTGTTTCTATTGAAAGAAGATGAAAACTGGCTCAGATGCATCTAGTGAGGGATAGAAGTACTCACTTGGCTGAAGGTGTGCTACACTAGGTGTGAGCACGATTACTGAGTAGAAACGGCGCGCCTGTTCTTTTGGGAGACGGATACACTGAAACACTTGAACACCAGACTGTCACCAGTGTAAGCTTAATTCAGCATAGATATGCGATAACTCACATTGTGCAAAGTGGGTCGCAAGGATAATTGATGGAGTTGAAATTTTTCTGACAGCAGACAAGGAGGGCAGGATGCAACAATGCCTTTCATATTTCTGGAAGAGTACCAGAATGCTCGTGTTCCATAGGGATTCACTGACCAAAAGTTACTAGAACAGAAGATTGACGGCAATTCACTGCGTACCTTTGTGAAGCGCAAGTACTCCTCCAGGAAGGCTCGAAAAACCATGGAAATGGCTAAATGATGAGGGATCCTCCGAGGCACTGGAGCATCTGAGGGCGCAGGAGGTTAGACAATGGTTAGACAAAAGGTTCCTGCGTGCACCTTAATCACCCAATAAGCATGTGAGTCTTTATTTCGCTTTGCCTGATGTTGGCTGTCACGCAAGAAATGCTGCAGAGAGAACTTTTGATGGGAGGGGAGGAATGACAAGACGCCATTGAGAGTCGGGGGGCGGGACAGCCCGTGGGAGGCTTTGGAGGGCTGAAATGTATGCATCAATCACCTCACCGATTACTACTTCATCCAGAATTCATGAAGTCATAGATTATCGATGGAAGCACACATCTTATCGATGTGTTGTCATCCGCGCTACTCCCTCTTAAGCTTACATTAATTGGACTCATGGATTTCACGCAGCTTGACTCAATTCTCCAACGCGTGTCATCGTGCTACAAGGTCAACGAGCAGGAAGTGTTGGATAAATGGATGGAGAAGCGAGAGGTCCGGGATCCTGAGGGATGGAGGCTCCTTGAGGGTATACCTTGCATCGCTGGTGGGCTCACAGCACTTCTTGGTAAGTCTCACAGTCAGATCATAGTGAAGAACAGCTAAATATTATACAGGGACTTTGGAAGGACGAGGGGGAACCATCCCGTGGAAGACTCTACCTAAGGTTCTAGCCCATCGTGGGTACATCCTCGAAAACTACCCCGAGGACATTCTCATGCCCAGCGAGAGACGTCCAACAGTTGTGAGGAGCAAGGGCATACATGACCTCACCACCCTTGAGCGCTTCAAACTTGTGGATGCCCTCAAAAACAATGTCCTCACCATCAAATCTATTCCAACAGACGCCCACAAAAGTCTCGCAAAATCACGTGTCCCTGTCATTGTTGGACAAGCGCCCACTGCAAATTCACCTCACACTCACGGCCGACGAGTGTTTGCCAATGGCTGGATAGATAGGCGTGGGCTGACCCGTCTGGGCAATACTTCTGCATCAAGTTCTAATGCCACATCACCTAATCCGCGCAGACTCCGAGTCTTCGTAGAACTTCCACTGGTGCCTCCTGCCTGGAAGTTGAAGGCGACTCAGCAACATCCCCCCATTGGACCCAGTCGCAGCCAGCTCATCCCACATATCGCCGTTATGAGTGCCACCGAGGACGAAGAACAAGAAGTTGATGAGCTTGTCAGTTCACAGCCTGCAGTTGTGAACTGTGAGCCTCTCGAGCCTCTCTCTCATCTTCACCAAAGTAATATGACCTACAGGAGCCTCTGTTTCATCCTCACGAGCCTCATTTGTACACGCTCGCGCACAATTCAAGCAAGACTTCATTCAATACTACATAGTAACTACTTTACAAGTCTGGGGTCGCCCAGGGTTCCACCATTTCAATACATCCTTCATCAATTGCATTTCTGATTTTTTGTTCCCCAATTGCGATGGAATCAACGCAAAAGTGAATGGAGCCAGGGACACCCAGAACGCAGTTAAGTGCATTCTCCCTATGTCAAAAAGATTAAATACAACAAGCGCCTCGAATAAATCTGCGCTCACCAGCCTGCCACTACACCGATGTAAGCCCCACGCGTCACACAGAAGACTTCTTGAGAGGGTTTGACTTGTACTGGAATATTATGACAGTTTAACAAGAAGGATGCAATTGTTAAGTAACACACCTGGAATGTTGTAAAAAATGGCCTTGTAAATATGAAGGACAGACTCGTCTGCCAATGATCTCGCAGCATTCTCAAATTGAGGATGGTTCTGATTGATGACGGTGAGCTCTGGCCTTGCTGTGGAGAGTGCGCCGTTGATAAAGATGACTTGAGGCGAGGGGAAAACACACTCGATGATAAATGGTATGGTCGTCGACATGGTCTGCTGGGGGAAAAATCGTGAGAATTAGTAGAGTATTCTGAAAGGTTGAAAACGCTCATCTGAGAAGAAGTGGAAGATACCTACCATCGCATTCGGCTTGCCCAAAAGGGTGGCATATGCATGGTGGGCGGGAGCAAGAAGTGCTGCGCCACTCGAACAAATCGCATTGCGATCCTCTGATAGAAGGTTAATTAGGACAGAAGATCAATGGCGATTGAATGCGTACCTGCATAATAAGACACCGCTCTCCTCTTGGGCGGCTCATTTCTGAACCTACACCACAATTTTCAACCTTAGTCCCCTCCAACAACTATCTGATGGCTTGTCCAACTATTCATAACACGGCTCGAGAAAGAATTGAGGCACGAGAAAAGAACAAACGCTATTATGCAATGTATGTCATTATTTTATGAATTGTTCCCGAGACTGTTCCTGACACTTACTTGTAAAGACATAGAGACGCAATCTTACAACGGTGGAGGATGTATGGTGTAAGTAAACGTGACAAGGAAGCAGAGGCAATAACAAAAGAGATATCGAGAGCTGTGGCAAAATTATTGCATGGCCGTGACGACGATGAGTCTGAATCAGACACTGATAATTCGAGCGACGATGACACACTGTAAGTTTAAAAATAGAAACATAGATTGAAATCAATTAATGTCCAACAGATATGATCTGCCAGCATGCTTACACGCTATCAAAACCGCCAAGGACGACATGCTCATATTGATTGGTGCCGACCCCTGTGAGTTCGCCAAGGACAAGTTGGCCAAGTACGTCAAGAGCATCCCAGACGATTGCAGCGCTAAGGGTGATATTTCTATCATCGCGAACTCAATCAGCAAGATTGAAAGTATACTCAAGCATGTCATTGCTGCGCAAGACGAAATCCTAAATTTCTGTGGTCTCTCACCTGACTCTGAGTGGCATGCCACTGACACAGTCTCTCGATTCTTGAAGACTACAGTCGCATATTTGGAGGATATTCAGCTTCTTGAAATGTCCGGAGGAGTTGTAGAGCTTACGATAGCACAATGGTTGGGAGAGCTGATGTATCAGAAGGGAATCAAGATTTGAGTAGCATACATGATTCGTCACTACATACATTTAGCTACACATTGATACTACAAGTGTATGGAGGTAGTGACGAAATGCAGACCCTTCAAAGCTGTACAGTGGCATCCACACAATGTCGCCGCACATATGCCACAGTCGTAGGTGCGTGAAGGAGGGCACTAAGGAACGTGCAAGGTTTTCGGGTGAGTTAGAAGACAATATATATGAGATGCCCTTGTGATCAGTTGTCAGTCAAAGTGTTCATCAGTTCAGCGTGATCATGGACTTATGGATGAGTTTTTTTCGAGGCGTTTTTTTAAACAAGCTGTCTGACACAAATAGATCATTAATACATGGTATAGTTGAATGAAGCAATAGGTGCTCACCTTTGTCTATGCAAAGACTAGCACAGTGGTGCGACAGAATGCTTTTTCTTGAGGGAGAGGATGATACTACTGACAGAAATGTGGGCAGTGGGAGTGGGAGGAAACAGGCGCAATTGCATTGGGATCCTCTGACAGAATGTTAGGACAGAAGATTGACGGCGATTGACTGTGTACCTGTGTGACAAGACACCGCTCTCCTCTTGAGAGGCTCGAGAGGCCATCAAACCTGCTAAATATTGAGCAAATGAGATTCACATAGAAAATTTGCGACAAAAATCCTGTAAAAGAAGAGAAGTCAAAAGTCAAAAGTCAAAATGCTGTTACAGTCAATAGGACAACCTACAAAGGGACGGGAGAGGGACGAGAGGGTATCAGGACTATGTGAGGTACATGTTGCACCCGAGGCACTGCGGCAGCACATTGAGGATGACTGTTCTGTACAGCCAAATCTGATCAGCCAATGCAGCATATGGATAACGATGTTCACACATAAAAAACATGTCCCAATACCTCCAATGTACCCAAAAAACCATCTAGTGCGCATATTAAGATGCTCCATGACATGCCAGTTCTAATGGTATTGACACATTTTTTAATTTAAATGGTATCTGGTCAGATAAACCAACTCTCGAACGTTGCCCACTCATTTGTTTCAATTGCTTTAGACTTCTTTACCTCTTTACCTATGGGGCGGAGAGCAAAACACCTCACTCTCGCTGATAAAACTGCTGCAACACGTCAACACACAGCAAAGTATAGTCGATCCGATAGGTCCAGAGAACTCTTGCTTTGCATATTTCTTATCTAAGTACTAACACTGCGCGTACAGAGGTAGAAACACTCGTCGACTTTGGAATTCGCACACATATGCCAAAGCCCACAGTCGAAAGGGTTCAACAAAGTCCCTCACTCTTGATTCCAATGTTGAGCTGTCATCCCTTCCATCTGATTTAATCAACCTTGCAAGAGCAGATCTTCCAGACACCTACCTGTTTCAACAAGCATCACAAAGTGCTGACAACCTTGATGAATCAGATCTTGCGCAATGGGATGTTGATCCACCATACCACACTCCTCGACTGTTGGACACCCCAGCAGAAGCTCGCTGGACAGAAAACCTTGTCCAGGTGATCCATGGATGACGATTTTGAATGGAGAAGGAGGAAGTCTATAAGTGTGCTAAGAGGCATAGTTCAGGGGGAGCGCTGCATCTTTGTGCTGAGTTGAGGGAAGGTCTTGATGTACTCTTGAGTCAGTGGGCAACATTGCACAAGTATGTTGATGGTATGCAAGATTGCGACAGACACTGCGTGATGGCTCAGTGCCTCCTACAGTGGCGTGCTCGAAGAATCTATCGTTATCATAACAAAGTGCACGCAATGATGACGGGATCGAATCTGTATGCATTGGACAGTAGTATTAACTAGTTAGAATACAGGAATTTGAAGCACGAGTGTTCTGAGATAATATCGAAACATGTGCATGTCTCCCTCTCCGAGAGCCGTGCAGTGGTACCCATGCAGTGTCGCTGCAATCACAGCAAGCACCCAGACACCGCAGTCAAAGCCGTTTGTCTGGAGTGCATCAGTCTAAAACATATAAGCTGAGGCCGTGTTTTGCACCATCAAGGTTGTGACCATACTTACCACTAGAGGATGTGCGAGCCATCCATCGAAGTCGATGTTGACATTAAAAACATGATCATGTTGTCGAGCGATACTCAGAAGACGAGCAATCAATTTCATGATGTCCTGGATGAATTTAGTCATGCAAAAATCTATTAGAGGAAGCTCATGAACCTTGGTGTCACTTTTCCATGGCTTCCGCTCAGCGAAGCTGTCAAAGAGATGGAGTTCCTTGGTTTGAAGGTGTACAACACATAGAACCCAGTGGCCGACATCTGAAGGCCTATGGATGGGAAGAATCCACACCTCTTTCGTCCAGTAAGATGTCCAAGACATATTGCGCCATAGAACATTATCAGGGGCATTGTATCGGATGCGCGGGAGGTCGTGGGTTGAAAGGATGGCATACTGTTCAGCCATTGGAGACAATTGCACCGCCTCTAAGTAAAGAAGCACTGCACACCCATTAACGCAACTGTCATTGAGTAGTGCAGTCCGAGAAGCAAGAAGCACGATATCCTTCGGCTCAAATACTTGACAAGGACATCCAAAGCGAGGTGCAGATACTCGTTCTTTGACGGTGCCTGGAATAATGATTCCCGCTTCTGGTAGAGGTGTTCGGTCCAATGTGATGTCCTAGAAGACTCATAAGCATAGACTATAGCGTGAACAGTAGAAAAACCATGCTACTTCAGGGATTCGCCAACAAAGGTCGGCTCCAGGATCATTCACAATGATGTCGATATCGTCATCCTCACCACCAGGGACTCTGGCAGTCAGAATATCTACAAGGGCAGCATCTTCAGGTTGCAAAGCTGTGTGATCGGTGTCAGAAAATATTTCTGGTCCAGGCTCTTCATCTTCAGTAGGCACAACATATGAGACAGCATATGTGTTGATCCATTGAAGCGGACGCTCCTCCGAGACACCCGAGAGTTTGTGGGCCAAAGATACAGCATCAGTTGCATGAGATGCGAATCGTGCTGCAGATGCAAGTGAGGTTGTCCAACAAGTCTGGATGTACTGAAGGTGCTCCTGTTGCTAGCGAAGCGGGACAAGGAATTTTTCATCTGCAAATGCACTGTGAGATCAGACAAGAACAAGGGAAGGTATGATACTTACAACCTGGTGTCAAAAGGGCGAGTTCTAGTGCTGAGAGCTCGTCACCGAACCATCTGCAGAGATTGTCCACCTCCAGCCCAAGACGTTGCTGCTCTTCAACACATCTATCTCTCTTCAACATTGCACGAATGCCATCACGAACGTCTTGATCATCCAACCAGCAGGGAACCTTTCCAGTGGAAGGTGTAATCCATATGTCTTCCATCAAACTCTGATCGTTGCATAGGTCGGTTAGTTTTGTCGGGAGAGGTGTGGGAAGAGGAATGCCGCAATGCGGATCATAGAGGGCTTCCAGACGCTCACAATAGGCGTTGAATTTATGGAGAGCAGCCATTAATGCTGGCTGGCGTTTTGCAATTGCTTTTCGAGTCTGTTGGTGTAGTTTGGTACCTAATGCGTAACATCAGGTCAAGTTGTTCAAAATGATATTTCACCTTACCCAGTGCTTGCTGTGATTCTCCTACCGCACGATCAAGCTTATCCCACTCGAAGAAGCTGCCAATGGCACGCTTGCGAATGTTCATCTTGAGATTGCGTGCTAACAGCAATGTTTGAACAAACTCGAGGTTCAAGCCGTCTAGTTCCGGGAACCTGTCCTGTACATTGAGCGAAGCATATAATACTTCAACTTTGTGCATGAGACGCTCATGCACTCATTCAAGACTTTCAATTGCATCACGGGTGTCCTCTGACATCTCACCTTTCACAATTGTGTCCCTCGTTGTCTGTAGAGCTTTGTCCGAAGCATCAAGGTCCGCTTGCAGAGCAAGGACGGTATCCAACTCTTTCTTGAGACGAGCCAGAGCATCTATGCCAGAACATCAGGAGGGCCACAATGATCACGAGGAAATTTACATACGAGCGCAGATTGAAAGCTGTGACTCCTTCTGCATCGCCCATTCTTTTCGCAAATCACTCACGGCAACTTCACACTCCTCGAGAAGCTTCCGGGCAGCTGTACCTTGATCCTCCACACCGCGCCTGAGTCGTCGCCTAATCCAGTCCCCGAGATCGGCACGCATCTCAAGGCCAATTGCTCCAGTGTGCCGATCAATTAACCACAGACGATGTTGTCTCTGTTGTGTGAATGTGAGCAGAATTTGAGAGAACACACGAGAACATACAGAAGACGACCGCTGTATGCCGATCAGTCAAACAAATCTTGACCAGAGTCTCTCCGTCCCCTCACCATCAGACAAGCCCAGACCAACAATCATTCGCGGATTGTAAACGAGCTGACAAGCCCATTCATGACCGTAGGCGTGCATTGCAGTAGTTGCAAACTGTAAGCGTTGTATGATAGAGTCTGGCAAGATGTCGTACTATTGGCAATTAATGACAGTTCAATGCGACAGGTGAACAAATTAAGACTGACCTGATTTAACGACCATGATAAGACACACCCCACATCATAGAGAGTGACGACAGTAGCACTCTGAGGTAGCAATGAAAAGAGATGGTTGATCAATGCAACTGAGTACTTTTGTTGCTCGCCAGGACTGTCGATATTGGCAAAAAATAAAGGTATGTCATGGCGGCAGATCAACACCATGAGTCCTGTATTGTCAAAGCTATCCATAGCTGCCTTTTGCTTCTTGCCATCCACTGCTTTGTAGGAATTCTCACACAGATTGATCACCTCGTCTGGCACATGCGATACGTGCAGCTTAGGCGCGGACTTGTGACTTCGAGTGATATGATGACCGATAGCGTCGACCTGCACCTTTGGAAGGAAATAAGAAGGGTCGTAAAAATGTGGTGAATCTCCCGCTGAACGCCGGTGTCGGTGGTGAAAGTTTCCATCAGTAGAAACATGGATATCACCTCCTTTATTCAAGTCTCAGCCAAATCGAACACCCCCAAAACAAGCTGGACAGCGTTGTATGAGGATGGATGTGCAGCGCTCCCGCAGTCCCTTCTCTTCTCTGGCTCCAGGTGATTGCAGATGCGCAGGAGTTGCTCGTGAAGCTTCTACACAATCATGACAAGTTTGTATGGCCGCTTCTAACTGGCGCTCGACCTCTATCTGCAGGACATCGAACCACTGAATAGCATGACCTAGACTCCGGCAGAAAGGTTCTTGAATAACTTCACCCTGGTTCATTCATGTGAGTAGCTGAACAAGTATCCAAAGTCAACAAACACGTACCTTTGCATTTGTTATTCGGTATCCTCGTCGGACGTAGTGCGTGTGAAGTGCAGACGCAAGTGCATTGACAGCATCACATGAGTGCTGAAAGAGAGCAATAGAAGGCAAGCAGCTCGACAGATATAGCCATTCGGGGCTGGGAGGGTGCAGTAGGGAATAAGCCATGGAAAATGAGTGTTTGTGCTAAGTTTGCGCATCTACAGCTCATTGTGTCAATGGAGATGAAATCTAGAAAGAAATTAGCTGATTTAAGTCAAAGAATGCAACCGAGTACTTACAGTCAAAAAAGAGACAGGTAAGAGATGTGCGTTTTTGTGCACATGTGTGCAAGCTGCACAAAGACAGAACCTTTGGCGTTCGTTCGAGAGGCACGCCTAGTGTCCGTGCAGTGTAGTCTAGTTGGATCTCAACTAGTGTAGGAATAAGAGCTTTCCAGCTGTCATACAAGCGAGTAGATGTAAGATCAGGCTGGGTACGACGACTCGGTGTGGATTGTGAAGGAGATTGGGGAGAGCAATTGTCATGAGGTTCAGGGACATCTTCCCAAGCCTCGTTAACATCGTTCTCGAGAACCACAGCATCCATTTCTGTCTCTGGCAGGACAGGTGGAGTTTCTTCAGGCTTCCAAGTCGCTGGACCGGCGAGTAGACTTGCCATCTTGGCAAGCAACTGGGTTTGTTTCAGGCAATAATGTCATATTGATGCATCAGAACAGGCTAACTAGCCTAGTTTTGTGATGCATCAAGCTTGCTCATTGTGTGATGCATCATCTGTCCGGTACATATTTCGGCTGTGCTGTCCATATTTGGCACTTGTCCGTCCATATTGAATATTGAGCAGGTTAACCAGTACCTTGCTTCCCTTCTCCTTGCTTCCCGCTTCTCTTCTCGTTCCAGGCCTTCTTGCTTACATAATTTAATTATTTGGCAGCCTGCATCGGTAGGCCTCTTACCAATCCAGTCATGCTCCGCCTTGACTCTGCCCGCCTCTTTCCTTGCCCAGCCCTCCATATCTGCACTTGCTAGCAGTGTGATATAAAGTATCCTTCAAATGTCTTCACAATCCCCGTCTTAACCTCAACCTCACAGGCTTTCAGCTCTCCGCAATCACCATCTCCACCAGCAGTGACAACCCATCGACCAGCCCTTGATACTGCCGCCGCATATACATGCTCCTCACGGACACCCTGCACTTCCTCAATCTCCTCGCCTGACTTCGGATCCCATCGCCAAGCAGCCTTATCCTCATATCATTTGCTGGCCGCATCTGGTAAATGGGACAGATTGAATCCATGACCCGCTGCCCATTTTCTTTTGTTCACAGTGACCCGGATATACTACCACATGTATTAAGTATATAACTAGTCAGAAACGTGCGTGTATGCGTCGTCACGCTGCATTGTTGTCAATGTCCAACTTCTTAATACATTTGAAAGCCACTGTGTCTCCCACATTCCATACAAACCTTCATTATGGACAGTGAATCAAAGACAGTTCCCTCTGCGACCCGCAGCTGCAACAACATTGAACGGATGTTAAGGTTTGATGCCACACTGATGTCGTTCTCACATTCTCGTGGATTGAATAAAATACTGTTTTGGACGCGGAAACGAGATACATATTACAGGATGGTTGGACCATAACCTGCATTCAAATTTTGAACATAAGTCTAATAATTCCCAACCGTGCAGCAGCCTAGTGTGACGAAGCCATGTTTGAACTTTGTGAGGTTCCGAAATCACAAGTGCTTAAGATCATGGCATTAATGTTAGAGCAATATTTGATGTATTAGTTTTGGTCCTACCAACTTGAGTCAAAAGTCGTTGGAGTTTTACTTACACATCTGTATACTACTAGTCACTGGTGCCACCTTCTCAATCTCTCAAAATTTCAACCATCACTCGTCACTCTGACTCACTCATAGCACATGGATGCACTAAACTGTATTCATAAGCCTAATCTACAACAACCAATATATACTACTGCGCCATAAATAATCTGTAAACTCGAGCCGCCGTTATGGTCTGACCACTGCAATAATTTGATTCAGATGCAACCATGGTCCATTTTTGTCTGTGAACAACATTGTTCCATTCAACACTTATCTTCAATCTACTACTTTCTCAACCCTCATAGGTATGTTTTTAATGCAATTCCATCTTTCATTCAAATGATTTTCACACAGCTATGTCTTCCAATAGTGGGACCAAGTTGTTTGGAGTCGAGGTGTTTGTTGAGTAGTCTAATAAGGTGCGTGGTCCATCCGCTACAGGTACTATCTTCATTAACCGCCAATGTTCACCCCCTTCGCCATTCCGGACAACACCCAACACCTGTAACCGCTCCGGTCCATTACTCAGACCCTGCAAGGCTCAGCGGCGCTAGGTGAATACTGCATGACAGTATTATCTGATAACTGCTAATACTACCCAATCCTATCCCTGCACCTCAGCACATTCCCTCTCACACGCTTGCTGTTCTTGCTGGCTGGCTCTCGCTCGCTCACTGTCTCTCACACACCCGCTATCTGCTCTCGCCCACCGTCTCTCGCCTGCTGTCTGCCCTCACCCGCTGTCTCGCACTCGCCTGCTGTCTGCTCTCACCCGCTGTCTGCTCTCACTTGCTGTCAGCCTGTCACTCGCTCGCTGTCTCTCACTCGCTCACTTCTCATAGATATACCTTTCCCATCTGGCGTCCAACACGCAGGTTTACTCGTGCCACATATCCGCCTGTGTGGCTGTATGCTGTAGAAGCACCTACAACCCAGAATCCAGATGGGCCTGTTATAGGTAATTTTTCGCATTTTTGTGTATGCTATCTGTATTTGTGACTTGATCAATACCTGGAATATATCACATCTAATTGTGACTAGAAATGTGCGAGTGAGTGCCCTAAATGTAAATATGCCCGCTCCAAACCTGCTTGCAAATCTCCATATTTGACTCATTTGGGATATGTCATCGGTCAAGCGGCTTAAAATGAGATCTGTTTTGAACAAGGAAGGTACCAAATAGAAGCTTGGCAAAGTGGAAGGCACAATGCGAACTGAGATTTGACCAACTGAATATTAGATCTTCATATATAGGTTTCTTGGTTGTCGAGGACCAAAAAAGAAATATCATTGACTGAAAGTGCTACAGTCTACAGACCATAGCCCATTAAAGGTCTGCTAACTTGCACGTTCTGATGCATCAATGATGCATCGGAAAGCTTGGTAATGTACATAGTTGATGCATTACCTATCACCTATAACTAGCAGAATTGATGCATCAGCCTTACAGGGACTTGTGTTTGTTTAGCTTTCTGACCTGGCACTTCAACAAGCACCTGTGTTTTCTGCTTGTCTCTAAGTTTCCGTGGGCTGGAAAAGTGGGTACCTAGCCCAGATGACGTGCCAGGTTGAGCAGCGCGGGTACCCATACGAGGGGCCATGATATCTTGATGGCTGGAGCAGAGGAGTTGAGAAAAACAGCCAAGTGACAAGTGACAAGTGACCATTGTCATTGAGGTGTAGTGCTGCCGCAGTTCAGTCCCGAACCTAGGTTCGAACCTGAACTTTTGTGAACGGAACCACCGTTCGGTCAGGGGTTCGATGTACAATACAGGACTGAACCTTACATAAGTTCTTCGTTCAGGTGGTCTCGGATGGACGTCAGACCCGTTCGGACGAGTCTGAACCGGTCTGAAACCATCATTAGAGTTGCAGGTTTGTTGCTTCTGTTGCTTCTGTTCTGCAACTCCTCAGGTTCGAAGGATACTCACTGTCAACACATCAGTAAGTTTGCCGGTGAAATCATCACCGGCACAATCCTCACGGGCGCCATCATCACCGACACGATCGATCGGAATAGACATTGCATCACCAACACGATTGATCGAAATGAATATTCACATCTCGTTCTGGCCTTGCGCAGAACATCAGCCAAGAATAAAAGGGTGGGGTATATGCAAGGTAAGTTTATTTATCAAAACATGTCTAACTCTGCAGTTAATGCTAATGGCATTTTGAAGGATGCATCCGAAATTGAATGGTATCATGATCCTGAGGCAAAATGGGCGTCTCAAGACTTTGCTGATGGAGTGAAATGGCTCGAAGTCCATGGGTATCTCAATAAATTGTCTGCGCACTAACTTAGTATCTAGTTTGATCAGTATTATCGTGCCCCTCCTTCATCTGCCGCGACGACACATTCTGCTACACCATCCCTCTCACGCCAAGGTTCCTATGGCCAGAGCTGGATGCGCGATGCAATCAAAGCTCGCGTCTCAAATGATGCAGCTCGTCAAAGGCCTCGTCGGGAATTGGAGGACTACTTAGCTGCACCACTGGAGGATGTTGAGAATGTAGTCGCGTGGTGGGGTGTAAGTTCACTTCCCTCATATCCTTAATATTCCGTGTAACTTGAAGCTGACAATTATTTTTTTAAAGCATCACTCGGTTCAGTATCCCACTGTTGCTCGCATCACAAAAGACTACCTCGCTATTCAGGGGTCTGCGGTAGCATCTGAACGGGCATTCTCAAGTGGTGGCATCACCGGCACCACACGTCGCAACTGCTTGCTTCCAGAGACATTCGAGGCACTTCAACTGTTAAAAAGTGCGTACCGTCAAGGCCATGTCTCAGCAATGGTGCAGGCTGAGCTCGTTGCTCCTCAAATGTTTATTGTTGAATAGTCTAGCCTACTACAATTGTTTGTACTTGGAAAATTTTGCTAATTTCATGTTGCGTTCGGCGGTTCGAACTGGTTCGAACTCGAACCCGACCATTGTGAACCTGTTCAAAGTGGTCCGGCCCAGAGTCCACCCTACCTTGGTGAACTTGACCGAGGTTCAGTTCTCGGTCCTCGATTATTTTGAAAAAACCGGACGGAACTGAACTTTGGCAGCACTATTGAGGTGGCATCGGATGCTCTGGGACAACATGTAAGGCATAGTCGAGGTATCTAAATTTCAACGGGACGCGCAGGAGGAGCGCGCTGCACCGGAACAGCGTACAGCAGGAGGCAACGAGGCAAATTGATATTTTTGGATTGTAGCTATATTTACATTCGGAGGATTTGGAGGAGGGTAATGAGGTGCGAGAGGGCAATGATGCTCCCGAAAGGAGGTGCAAGAGGAGGGCAACGAGGTATAAGCTATTTTTAGATGGTAGCTAGCAAGATCCTCGCAGGATGAAGGGTCTCTCAGCCTAGTTTCCCATAACATAGAAACCAGGTCTGAAAGACCCCTTATTGGCGCTGAGAACTGCTGCCTGAGGTGCAAGAAATTGGAGAAAGGGTGGCCTCATGCCATTTATGTAAATACACAATCATGCCCTCGAGGCAACATTTGCTGCTTCAAGCACTAAGCAGCAGTGCCATTGGGTGGGCGCCGTAGAACTTCTCAAGGAAGTCGGAGGAACGACTCAAAGATTCGTAGCAGTGTGGAAGTCAACTTATGGATCAGTGCTCGAGGTCGAAAACTAGTACTAGTAGTAAGTCACTGATTCGCCACTAGTACTCAGGCCCTCGAGATAAAATTATTCGGGCAAATATTACATAGCAAGCCAGGTACGTGACGGGCTCGATGGAGTTAATGACACGTCGCTTATCATTAGCAAGGAGTTTTATCCCGAACCCTCGTATACATTCGAGTCGTCACTTCTCCCTGTGGTCTCTTCTCTCTATTTTGAGCTACATAAGGCCATGTCATACATTCACGACACACACACGCCGTGTCACGACCGCGGCAAGATAGCTACGCCCACGCCGCTCCGCTAGTGGTTTAACTACACGATGGGATTGAATGTTTGGCATCTGCTTTCGCAACAGTTGCACGATCCTTACTACATATTTTGCATTGATGATGGTGTTATAGCCCAATGATTGAGGCTGGGGCGAGGAAGTGCGCATGCGATGACAGGTATTAAGGAAGTATTTGGGACGAGAGCAAGGGTGCACTGTCAGAAGGAGGTGGCCATGAGGGATTGGCCTAGAGGTCCTGGTTGGTGGCGGCGTAACAGTGAGGCTGCAACCGAATTTGACTGAATTTGACATTTCTGATATCGTGCCGGCAGAATGTCACCTAGTTAAGAGACTCTGGATGCATCGATGAGGTGTCAAGCTCCCCAGGTCCGGGCCAACAAGAGAGGGAGCAGATCATCAATCAGCCTGTACAGTCTGACTGTCTCATAGAGAATCATCAGAATGGAAAACTTTTTGATGGTCGCATTAATGCTCCTAGGCCTGTGTTAGATTGGTGGCTACATGATTTCACCGATTTCTTCAACTGACACATCAATGAGTGCATTGAAAAGAATTTCTAGTCACGAACAGACATAAAGCAGGAAGATTGAATATCCCGCGCACACACGACACTGAATTGAAAATTCGCAGTCAGCATCACCCAAAATCTGATTTTTGTTCGACTCCGACTCCCTTCTCTACTTGGTTTCACACAGCATACTGATTTATATCGATCAAGATGGGGGTGAACATTAACGTTCATCTCCATGGCGCCTTTCTCAGCGCTGGATGGTGGTATATCTAGCACGAACTCCATCATTATACATCCACTAAGTTTTCCACTTACTCACATCATCCCTCGAACATGACCATAATATTCAATGCTCCCCGCTGGTGGCCAGTAATCAATTTCAATCGTAATCTCAGCTACTTCATAGGTTCGTGGGGAGCCAGGCAGATGGTGTTCGTGACGCCTCGATCTAATCTTGATACAGTTGCATCCTCTACTGCAGTGATATATGATTGGGGTGAGCGAGATCATACTCAAGAATGAATGATATCCTTATGTTTTTAGCACTGACATTCGGGCAAGAGGTACGCTGATGCCATTACCAGAGTAGCCATCTCACTAAGAATGACATTACGTATAGCTCGAACTGGTCTGGGTGAGCACCGTACCATATCAGAAGGCTTCAACAAGATGATGTACTCAATTCTGAGCAGAATCGTCGCTGGTCTTTCATGACAGTCCTATACGTCGGCGTGCGTAACTTACGTTATAAGCGAAGACAAGAAGTTTTGCTAAATTCAAAATATTCCAGGTGCGCTACATGGGAATAGTATATATTATGTATGCCTTCAAGTTTGGCAATGTGCTCTGTGCTGATACTTAGTCATTTCTCTCAATCAGCATCAACATGCTGCGTATGTCCCTTCACCTATATCACGCGTGTTTCTGCTGATTACCAGCATACAGAAATTCTTCCGACAGTCTCGTTGACAAAACTAGTGAGTATTTTACATTGATGCCTGTCATCGTCGTCCAATTGACTCCTATGCAGGGGTAAGTGATGTTCTTGACCAGCTTGTTGATTTAATACAAAATTACATTACCGCAACAGATGTGAGAATTGTGTGGAACATCTGATCTTCCGACACTCACCGCCAACCCAACTTGGGATTTCCAGGCAATGTTATGTACTTCGTACTAAATTGGATAGCTGTGGCCGTCAATGCCATGTTAGGTGGTAAGCTACTCAGCTACAATACCTCAGCGATATTGACTTGGCTGATACATTATCCAAGCGATCATGATTACTCGTTTGTATGCTATGCACCAGCGATCCAGAAACGTCCTTGTCCTTCTTATTGTAATCTTCACGACTGTCACAATTGCATGCGGCGTAATGACTGCAATTATAAACAGGCATACTAAAGCGAGTAAGCGTTAAATTATACTTGAAGGGCTCGAGCGTATCATGCTGATCAGATGAATATTAGAGGAACTCATTCTCTCCGGCACCTATCAGTGCACTAAATATGACAATGAGGCAGACGCCCTGATTCTGCTTTCCATGACATGGATACTCTCCACTATATGGGAGGTCCTCGCACTGTGTCTTGCAACCTGGATTGCTGTAAAACACTTCCGCGAACTGCAACGACCATCGAGGGGATGGACAATTGGGGACTGTTTTACAGCGTTAATACACACTCATATCGTCTACTTCGCAAGGTGAACTCCTAATTTAATATGGTTTAACTCGCCTGCTAAAGTTCCGTATCTGCCAGCTTTGCTGCTGTTTCTTGTTTCAATCTCGGTTTTTTGTCTCCACAGCTCCTGGCGGTACGTCCGTGTATCATTGATATCTGCATGCGATCACGACTTATTTATCACTTCTATAGAACTCACTTGCTGTGGGAGCTCAGATCTATGATGGTGTTCGTCAAATTCTCTCGGTCATACAGATGTTTGTGCTGGGACCACGCCTCATTCTTAGTGTTCGACAATATCATGCAAAACTCATGGACAACTTTGATGCGGAGGCAGATATGATTTCAATAGCTTTCCAGGAGCGCACAGTTGTGTCAACTGAACTTTAATACAGTCACTCCTCCATGCTTTCTTTCTGTTATCTGTCTCGATGACATTCTTTGATTCCCCTTCCCTCGTGGCCGACTTTCCTTATTCCTGAAGACTGATAGTGAACACTCTTATACTTGCTAGTCTACTATGTAGTCGCTTTCTCTTACATCTGCTGTGCAATCTGTCGTCCAATCGTACTCTGAAAATATTTTTGCTTGTGCATGGTTTCGCCATAGTACATTCGCTATGCTGGATTAGTTTTGTCTTTGCAATGTCTCACATATGGTTTCTCGTCAATCAGTATTAGTGGAGCCCATCGGTGTCTCTTGTCCATGCTATTATACACTAGCATTAGAAACAGCACTGATGTTTACTAGTATACCGCTACATCAACTGCACTAAGTACAGTACATCAAAATGTCAAAGTCCGACCTGGAAGCCGCTTCTTAAAGATATACCCTCATTATGCTACCAAAACGCCACCAGCTAGCAGTATAGCTCCGAGTACGAATGAATTTGAGCTCGATGCAGACGTCAAGGCAAAATTCTTATTCTGTCAGGTAGCACGCAAGTGAGAAGACGCATGCATCACATTCGAGAATAAACATTACCAGTTGTTGTGTGCCCTTAAATTCCTGACAGCTCTGACCGCAATTCAGATTCATATTGCTCGTGATGAGCGATGCAAGTTGGGGATCTATTGGTGCGGGTGACGCTGCAACTATCGGCAAAGTCAATTTTTGTAAGATACAGCGCTGAGGATATGCTTACCCATTGCAGATATTGAAAATAGGATGACCCAGAGGGACATAATGCGGAGGGTCACTGAGGACATGTTGGATGGGTATAAGATGGATTGAGGTATATGCGATGGGTTGTATTTGAAGAGCAGCGAGAAATGAGACTTAATGAATGAACGAGACGGAGACCTAATCAATAAGCCGAGAGATACGAGGGAGGGAATGGTAAAATCACGACTGGGTCAGTTGCTTCTTATACAAAAACGCTCACCAAGAGAAGATGTTACCTTCATCCGAAAATAGCAGGTACGCGCTCGTAAGGGTCACGTGTTTTGAGGTTTCTTGTATTTTCGGATTCAAGAAGAGACAATGTCACGAAGAGGATGACCTAAAGAACTATCGGTTACTATAGTAATACAACATCATGCGGTACCGATACAAAGGTCGTCCCAAATAAAAGGGGCTGAATACTCGGCGGGATCTTCTGATGAATCTGTGATCATGTAGACGACTACTTCGTTGCACAGTTGCACGCCCGCTGCTGATTGGTACAGTCGCAGCTGACACCTGTACCTTTGCAGTCGCACTGACGTGGTGAGAGTCAGGGCGAGTCAGAAGTGCGGTTAACTACGTACTTGCGAAGAGTGTTGCTTGTTGACACAGCTGTCACAGTTGTCGCAGTTACAATTATTCTTGGAGCAAGTACAGCCAATACCCGAGGGACCACAGTCGCACTGATGTGATGAGGACCGGGGCTAATTAGAAGTGCAATTAACAACATACTTGTGAAGAGTGTTGCTTGTTGACACAGCTGTCACAGTTGTCACACTTGCAATTATTCTTGGGGCAAGTACAACCAGTGCCTGAGGGACCACAGTCGCACTGATGTTATGAGGACCAGGTCGAATTAGAAGTGCAATCAGCGACATACTTGCGAAGATTCTGGCTTGTTGTCACAGTTGTCGCACTTGTCGCAGTCGCAACTATTCATGGGGCAAGTACAGCCAGTGCCCGAGGGGGCACATGCGCTATGGACGTGTTTAAAGCTATGATAGAAGATTTAGCAAGTGAATACTCACCCGCAGTCACTGGTACAAGTGCAGTCTTTGTCCATCTTAATGCAGGGCGCGTTGGTTGAATGTAAGTTTTAGTTTTGAAGTTGGTGGTTTGAATGTGAACGATAAAGATGAATCGACATTCTTCTTATATGTCGCATTTGATGACGTCGTTGTCGAGTTGCCATTTCACATCAGTGGTCTTCTCAGTGACTTGCCAGCTGATCATGGTGCGTAGAAGAAACTTGAAAGCTTGACAGTTCGTTCCCACGATGAGTACTTTGCAAAATACTATAATTGGTAAGTCTTCTACTTGCACTCGACTGACTCTACGGTAGTCGTATACGGTGGGCAGTTCGATGATATTTGATTGTTTTCTATTTTCTTGCTTTGGAAACTGTTAAACTGCTATCCCAGTATCGGTTTAGTTTATCATCGGTAATCGCCAGGATGAATTCCTACCCGGCTGAGCTTTTGGTCCAGCTCGCTCCAGTAATGTTTGTTGCAGGCCTTGACCTACCATCTGCACCGTCAACGTCCCCTCCAAGTACTCCACAATCGCCAGGTCAAACCCAATCTCCCCCGCCTGCACCTACCAAGATTCAGGATCCTTTCGCGAGCCTCATTGTGCGCCTCCGAGATGCCCTTCAGTCCCAGCACAAAGTCGCGATATGGGCACCAGAGCGCACAAGGGCGTTTCAAATGATCCTCGTCGGGAAAGACGTCCGATTTCCTCCTCGCAAGCTCGTTCCTCCAGAGGATCTTGCATATGCATCTGCTCATTCACCGCTTTCGCCCTTGACACCTTCGTCACCCTTGTATCCTGACGGCCTAATTGCGCCTATATGGATACGGAAACACACTCAGCTATTACCGAGCGTTTTTGTTCTATTCCTCAGATTGTTTGAGGCACCTGCGATACATGCTCGATCTCCGTTGGACCCACCAGACCCGGAACATGAACGCGATAAAACAGAGGAGGAACGAAGAAGAGATACTGATCTCAGCGCTGAGGTTGCAGCCCGAAAGAAGACGACCAATGAACGCGGTATAAAATTGACCGTCGTGCTACTTGCAACTAGAAGGATGCTCGGTATATCGTCCATTTGTCATAGTCAAGTTGGGTCTCTAACTGTGTGATAGATGACCCGTCACTGGATAGCCGCCTCACCTTCATCAGAAGACAGAGTGGGCTTGACTCCCGTGCAGCCTTGTTTGTCCTCAGTCCAGTCAGTACATCTGAATTGAACGATTTTGCACGCAGGTAAGGGCACCCTAATATTTTTATATGGCTGCACTTCATGATATTCTAGTTTACAAGACGCCCTGTATGAACCTGCACTCGAATACTATACGTCACACTCCAAGCGTGTCAGGCGTAAGCGTAATCGACACTCCCAATCTGTTTCATCGTACAACCCTCCAGCTCTTGTTTCCATGGGCGTTGCGAACACCCGTCCATTGCGTCCCGAAGGGTGGACCGTGCGGTATGAATACAAGATGGCATGTTTTGCAGAGTTCAGGGGTGAAGATGAGGTTGCGCTCAAGTCCGTCACATTCTCGTTGCCAAAGAGATTGGAAAACTAAGTTTCTTAGACACTATCAGGATGCGTACGCGACACTCATGATTATGTTCGGATCGACTGCCATCCTCCCCCCTCGAACCAAGCGCTGGGCGGAGGCCAAAGTCCTTGCAGACGCCATAAATGTGAAGGTGCGAATGTATGCGCCTTGTGTGATCACTCTTACAACTAGACCAACAGATAACCAAACTATACCTGTACAATAGCGAGCACTCGCTTGCACTTTCGCATCACAACTCCCACATGCGCCGGTTCGCAGATTTTTCACGGGGATGGGGCATAGGCGAGGAGACATTTGAGTATTGGAGTTGGATGGCGAGACAGTACGTCCCTCATATCCAAACATATCCAACAAATTTCTCATTATGTCTTCCAGGCACCGCGTCCTCGCAGAGCTTCTAGAACAAGGATCGAATTCTTCGTTGACGTTCCCCACAAATTCACCTCCTTCGCTTACGGCTGGTGTGACATCAGCAGGCACGCCCGTAGAGCTAGACGCCGTTCGAGCGTTCGGGTTGAATCCTAGCCACGCCTTGCAGCATCCAGGGCATTACTACTACATGGCAGCCCGGTGCACAGAAGCACGCAGGGAGAGGTTCTTGGCCAATGAGGTATGTTTTTTTGTCTCGGAACATCGAGCCTTCAATCATATCCCACCCTAAGGAGGGTATCTCGCAAGGGACAAGTGCGGCCCCAGGATACGCAAATGAGAAGAAAGTTGACCATCTGTCATTGATTCTCGAGGTTTGTGCTCTGTTTGACTTGTAATGCAGTTAAATGATGACGATTTTTTTTTCGCCTCAGCTCTACACCAAATCCTACGAGGTGTTTAAGAAACATAGCTCCACCACGAGTCAAGGACGCTTGACACTCTGGATCGCTTACCGCATCGCGCATACATACTACGAGTCTGAGAAGTTTGATGTCGCAGTACGGTATGCATTTTCATCTTTATCGTACAAGAAATAAACCAAATGGCGGTGTATAGATTCTTCGAGCGGATAGCAAAGACGTACCGAAGGGAGAAATGGAAACACATGCTCAGACCGCTTTTGTCAACGTGGTATGCCTGTGCGCAGAAGCTCAGCGACGTGGAACTTATGGCGACGCTCCTCGTGGAGATGATTGGGTATGGTAAGTAACGTATAATACTTTGAAGGTGGTCGCACAGTGATGACGTCGTTCAGCGCAAGATGTTGATGAGTCGAGAACCCTACAGGAGGACCTATTGGCGGTACTCAAGGTGAGGTACCCCGCCTTGTCTTTGAGGCGATTAAAATTAAATTGGTTCATGTAGAGTTCGGTCCCTGTATCACCAGGGAAGCCACTCATTGTGGACCTCAAAGAATCTGACCCGTTGTGTGAGCTAATGGAAGCATGTTCTCTCATGTCATTTTTACTGATTGACATGGAGTGGACACCATGCTGGTCTTTTGGGTGCCCGAAGTGCGGGTTGGTGAAGAGGCCGGATTTCAACTGTCCCTTTCTACACCAACGAACATAGATCTCTCCACTCTTCCGATAGACTCTGTGACTATTACGTTCTCCGATGGTTATTACCCTGTGGTACTCCGACATTCGCCTCCCACGGACGGCCAAGTGGCAGATAGGGCCGTCCGGCTGGTGAAAATTGGAAAGGTAGTGCCAGAAGATGAAGATGAAGATGAAGAACTGGAGGAAATTTGTGCTGATCTTCGCTGGAGGCCAGGCGAACGACTTGTGGTCTCTGGCAGTATATCTTCTGAAGCTCCTGGGCTGCTTACCGTGAGTGTTATCTTAGCAAGGTGTGGCAGATAGTTTACGTCCGTCTGCAGGTCGTGAGCATCACTGTGGTACTTGCACAAAACAGCTGGACCATCGAAATGCCACATGAGCCATGTGTCTCTCATGAGATATCTACATTCGTGCCGCGCTGGCTGACTTCACTCCAGCCCATCCGGTTTCTTCAGCTTGGAAGGGACGACTGTTCTAGTGTTGTGTAAGTCGCTCCCGAGCACAATAGATATCGTGAATAACTGTTTTTGATCCAGTGTTCGACATCGTCCTCACGAACTCGCCGTCTCGTTATCTCACCAAGCACCAGCACTACTCGATGAAGAATATCCAATCATCATTGATATCACAAATGTTGATGAGCGACATCTGGATGTTGTTGTTGACGTCTTGTTGCAACCGACGGAAGTGGACCAAGCAGGTTAGATAGTTCGTTTTTCTTCCCAATCTACAGTACTCATGTCCCTTTCTAAAAAGCTCAGTACATCGCCTTCGACGACCAGCGTTCGTCCGGGTTGATCAAAGGCATTCGATTCGGCATCATCGCCCCGGGCGTGTCGGCCACCAAGACTCTTTACCTCGTGGGAACCGGTGCTCCTGGTGATCGCACGTTAGACATATCTATCCAATCCACTTCGGTCCAGCCTGAATCCACGAGTGAAGGCGAAGATCACGCAGAACCCAGCAGCTCGAGCTCTTTAAGTGAGCACGCGCCTATCGATTCCTGCGAGAAGTTGCAAACTATCGTTATTCCGACATCCGGAGCTCTGACGGTCACATATGACGTGGCGTACAGGAGAAGCAAAGACGCTATGCCTGCTTTGGCGGATCTGTCTACAGTAGAAGACGACTTTTGGGATGATTCCTACGGCGGGGTAGCTGTGGTTACAACAAGAATAGAGTGTTCAGCTCCTTGTGGCTTGGTGGTTGAGAGCTTGAAGTTGCATCGTCAGGTGGGTGGAATGAATTTGGTGCCACTACTTTGGTAATTAATCTCTCAAAAAGGATAATCCGCTTGCAAAGGTGCTCGATTGCTCGTCAGATGAAAACAGTGATAATATGTTTCCAGATGGTGAGTCTTCTTACCACATGACCATATGATTTGGCTAGATAAATGTGTCAGAATACCTCCCTGGCGATGAGTTCTGCAATGTGAGTAGGATATCACTTAGTCCACGGGAGGAGCAGGTTTGGGGCGAAGAAAAAATCACTGGTCCTGGCAACTACGAAGTTGTCTGGCGAAGGTAATGTTGTATAATTGCGACATGTCGACGATGATTCTTAAACATACGCGACAGGATGCTTCCTGACGGAGGTCGTGGAAGGGAGTCGACCACGCGGTTTACACTTCCGATACTCATGATTCCGCAGGACGAGTTAATCGCCCTTCTCGACGCCCCTAGCTTTGCAAGGCTCCACGTGCCGACGACCATACACTTAACAGTCCGCAATCGGCACTCCTCTCGCTCCGCCAATATCACTGTTGCCCTTGATCTCGATCCCTCTGATGCGTTCGTCGTAGCTGGCTTGCGGAACGGTCGCCTTCCAATCCTTTTACCGGGTTCTGAGGAGAAGCTCTCGTGGAATTTGATACCGATCGAATGTGGTCATGTCAAGATTCCACGTATCAAGGTTATGAATGTACGACGCGCTACTCTGCCTTCACAAGGTGTTGGCGTGCCGAGCACGGAAGATGATGTGGAAGGAGAGGCGGTAAAGGTGGTTGATGTGCGTGCTGACCGGAACACTGCGAGGGTACAGAGCGCGGATGATGGCACTGTTGCAATTCCTCAGCAATATGGCTCTAGTACACTACTAGTACTACCATGATCATGATCCGAGCAACTCGAGCCATTGCATTTCGCGGGAGATATAAAAGGCAGCAGTGGCTG